TTCACTTACTTACCTATTCTTCTTTGCGTGGCAGAGTATTATGTGGAATATAAATAGACGAGTGCTGAGATATGAGCAAAACACGAACCTAATGTGCTCTTCGAACCCGCGATCACCCATTCTGAGACTCACGTGTTATCAACAGCCTAACAGTGCTAAAAGCAATCACCAACCAAAGGGGACGATTAGAGAGCACAAATATCGAGTTCAAGGCACACCGTGTTTTCCGAGTTTTGCTCGTATCTCAAAATCCTTGTGGTTCTCTGTGTTCTTCAGTCTCTAAGTGTACCAAGTTCTCAACTCCTTAAATGCCCTCATAATCGAGAAGAAAAGACGCGATAATCATCGAATACTGGGCGTTGTCCTAAATGTGCTAATAGATCATTATAATCTGTAATGTGTGCACTTTCATGAAAGTTAAAATGTTTTGGCGTTTGGCGTCATTTAGCGAAGCATAAACTATTTCAGCTTTTCTACTTTAAAATGATAGAGTTGATCTAACTATGGTGAAGCTCAACTATGCACATGAAATGAGGTGGAAAACTTTATTTCTTCACTGAGCAAAGACTCGAGCTATACAATTATTTTTCCACTTAACACCAGTAAAATGGAGGCAGCTGCATTGTGTCTGTGTGCAAAAAGAAATTCCCGTTTCTCCCTCGCTCATCTGAAAATGAGAACCCACGTCGTTTATGAGACACGCCCCTCCATGTAAACCGTTCTAGGATGGGATTTTTTTGTAATGTGCATAAAATTTTATCCCTCAGTCCCAAATCGATACTTGACACTTGTCACACCTAACAATGCAGATTTAAATTCAGCAATTATTGTACAATTTCCTAGTGGCGAAGTGTTACAAAAAGAGGAAATTTTACGATTCGCATAAAACGTATCCTATGCGAGATTCATTTCATCGCGTGGCCATTTCCATTGCCATTGTAATAAATATGTCCCGATATTCAAGAAGGATTTCTTACATATTTCATATAAGCGTAAGGCACTTCAGAAACTCTTAAAACTTCGGCTTTCTTTGAAATCATAGGAAGTAAATTTAGTGAAAGTGGAAACATAGGTAGCTACAATTATGTAGAAATTAAAGTATCCCTTTAGAAATATTGCCAGACTAGGTACTCCATTGGAGAAACGTTCCCGTCTTAATGAAAAACATGGATATGAATGTGTCGTTTTCTTGTTCAGCAATCGCGAGGTTTTTAAACAGCATGCATTTACTTCCATAAAAACACAATGCAATACAACGCTAGCTGACGTTTCGGCAGTATCGCCTTCTTCAGAGCCTGGAAGGGTATACTGATATACAATCTACTAGGCCAAACGCTTCAATAACACTTACACAAAGACGAAAGGCTCTTTGGTAATTACATGATCAACAACTTCTCGAGAAAAACAAACCGCTTTTTCGTGACTTCCAATGAGGAAGTTTAGAACAGCTGATTATAGTCGCATGTGGTTGATGACTGCACCATCCCACATCAAAAATCGATGCGAACGTACGGGATCAGGTCGCGTATGACCTCCGGGCATTCATCCCTGCTATTCATTGTAGGGTTTTTGGCAATTCTCCAAAAGGCCTCAAGAAGTTTTCGCGCTGGTGTTTTGGACTCCTGTGCAAGGATATTGACTTTTACTTCAAAAACGTCTCCGCTATGCTTTTGTATCCTATGCGTGCCTAGTGGGGTGCTTCGTCTTAGTTTTCGTTTGCCATCTAGGTGTTCTTTTATACGGATACACAATGGTCTGCCCGTTTCGCCAATATATTCATCTTCGCAATTATTACAAGAGATCAGGTATATCGTACCTGAACTCATGCAATCACCGTCCCTGCCGTAAGGGCAAGTTACGCAATTTGTTGTTTCACACAGACGGTCATACAGGCGGTTGCGAACTAATTGGCGACGTAGAGTAGCCGGTGGTATTTCAACTATCGCTACCGATTCCTCTAGACTTGCCCTTCTTAAGCATCGTTTTATAGCTACGCTTACTTCATCGCTTATAAAAGGCAACATGAACGGGACATTCTTTTGGCCAAGTGTTTCGCGTGGGCGCGTCGTTCTCCTTGTAAACTTATCTCGTGGGGTTACTATTTCGTAGCCATTGGAGATGGCTATTTGCCGAGCCAAGTCGCGCGATTCTTCCTTTAGTTCCCTGGTAGTGCACACAGAGGTGGCTGTTAGAAACATGTTTCTCACAATCGCCCTCTTTGCGTGTGAAGNCACAATGGTCTGCCCGTTTCGCCAATATATTCATCTTCGCAATTATTACAAGAGATCAGGTATATCGTACCTGAACTCATGCAATCACCGTCCCTGCCGTAAGGGCAAGTTACGCAATTTGTTGTTTCACACAGACGGTCATACAGGCGGTTGCGAACTAATTGGCGACGTAGAGTAGCCGGTGGTATTTCAACTATCGCTACCGATTCCTCTAGACTTGCCCTTCTTAAGCATCGTTTTATAGCTACGCTTACTTCATCGCTTATAAAAGGCAACATGAACGGGACATTCTTTTGGCCAAGTGTTTCGCGTGGGCGCGTCGTTCTCCTTGTAAACTTATCTCGTGGGGTTACTATTTCGTAGCCATTGGAGATGGCTATTTGCCGAGCCAAGTCGCGCGATTCTTCCTTTAGTTCCCTGGTAGTGCACACAGAGGTGGCTGTTAGAAACATGTTTCTCACAATCGCCCTCTTTGCGTGTGAAGGGTGGGAAGAAAGGAAATGAACAAAGATGTTCTCGTTACTCGGCTTTCGATACCACTTTGTCAGGTAACCGCTACTTGATAGGTTTACTTGGACGTCCAAAAACGGAAGCCAGTTTTTTCTCGGTTTCTCCCGGGTGAACTTTATGTACTCGGACTGCTCGTTCAATAATTCAAAGCATTTGTCCATCTCCTCCTGCGTAGAGAAGACGACAAAACAATCATCTACATATCTGCAGTAGAGTAGTAGCCGGAGATTGAGAACAGGGGCTTCTATCTTAGACATAAACACAATGGCAAGGCTTGGTGCCAATCGCTGTCCCATTGCCAACCCCCTTATTTGCGCGAAATATTTTCCAGACCATCTGAAAATCGAGCAGTTTAGGCACTCCTTTAAGAGAGCCATTAGCTGCTGGATGGACAAGCCATGCATATTTATTCTTCCTTCATGTTCAACAAGAAGTTCAAAGATGGCTTGCATTGCGGAGTCATTCGGTACGTTGGTGTACAGTGCGGTAACGTCGAAAGACTCCATCAGGTACGCGTTATTAGGAGACGCGTTACGTAGACGTTCTAGGAATATTTGGGTGTTTGTGAAGTGAGCTGGAATGTGGTTAAGCAACTGGGCAAGTATCAGGCTTAAAAACCAGGTTATTCTCTCCGTTGGCCCGTCTACACATCTGATGATCGGTCTAACCTTAAATGATGACGGATTGGTTGGGGGGAGAGTTCGTAGTTATCCCTCGCCAGCTGGATGTTGAGATAACAGAGGAACATCTTAGTGATGCTACTCTCTATCGCCCATCCTCTGAAAAGGAATATAAAAGTCAATACCGAAAGCTAAACAATCAATGGGTCAGCGTGGCAAAGGCTGCGGGTTTAAAATCATCGGTTATTTCGCACTTTAAAATCGATAGACCAACATGTCCCGTCCTATACCTACTTATTAAAACACATAAGTTGGTATCACCTGATGATCATGCGTCAACCAATCCGTGCTTAAAGTAATCCCACAGCATCTTCTTTATAAGAGCTTGTCCATGGCTCCGGATCCTTGGTAGGAAACTATACTCCGTAGCTTGTTTTCCACACTTTTGTTGTGATTTAAATTTTTCACTAACAAACCTATATGGCACTGCTTGCTGAAGTCTCATCAGTGATAAAGAACATCCATTTTAGTTCTTTAATAGAAGAACAACCATGATAGAGTTTAAATTGAAAGCCTGCCGGCAACTAAAGCAAATTTAATTGGCCAGACCAGTTCATCCACCTGGTTGAGATTGGAATGTGCATGACTGGTTACGCAAAATTTCTATAACCCATCCGTCACTATGTGATCCACTTACTTGATAGAGCATGATACTTTGGAAGAGTAATTTGCAGGATAGCATATGTTCCATTCGAATATTCTCTTTAGTTTTTCATAAGTCATAAGTCGACAATTCATAAGTCCCTTTGAAACAGCTTAGATACTTAAGCATAAACAGACCATATAAACAGTTCGTAATGAAGGTAATTAAACGGAAAGCTTTTGCCTTTAGACCGTAGAGTAACATGTAGCAAACATGAGAAGATTATGTCTAATTAGGTTATTTGCTTTTGCTATTGCGAGTCTCACGACGACACCTGAAATGATTAGTGGTGACAGTTAAAGCTTGGATCTGACTGGTGTGGGCATTTTGTAAATCTCAGAGGAAACAGTGGTATACAATTATACATGGTTCAAGAAATATCCGAATTCTCTAAGAAAAATGAAATCCCTGTAGGAGCAAGCTTTCACGGTAGCCTTCGTATTTCGGTCATCTGGATGTGGGGGCGATTGCGGACGGAGGGATTTGCCAATTGTTTGCGCTCTCGCACTTCCCTCTCCACTATTCCGTCATATTCCTCTGCCTCTCGGACATCTACCCCAACTCTTCATCCCAATAGTCGACTTCAAATTTACGTCGCCTCTCGTTTGCCTCTGAAATACCAGATTTTCATGTGCACTTTCGAACACATGTTTAAAATATGGACCTTATGTGTATCGGCCGTCACATTATCATCAGTGCCTTTCTTCCTCTTATTGAAGAATGCTCAGCTTGCTAAATGTTTTCGTTTATTTCGTCAGGACCATATACATCAATTAATGTCTGATCGTGATAGTTGTTCGCTGTTAGCATTAGAGGCTCCTATCCATTCTTCAAATTTTTCCCCTAATCAAATCTGAGGAGTTTTTATGAATGGTGTTTGCTTCATCATAGTTCTGTTTCGGATTATTTTCACAGACGTTCTGTTTTAGAGCGGAAATGTCGGGTATTCCGCTCGGTGTCGGAGGTCCTCCACCTCCCGGAATGGATACGAAAAGAAGGCGACTTGTTTGTATAAAAGTACGAATGTTGGATGATAGTGTTGCTGTATTTCACCTTGGCGTAAGTTTTCTGCGTTTGGTAGCAATCCATCTGTTTAGTAAATGTCCTATTGGTGTTTGTAATTTACAGACGTAGAGTAAGAATTTGGAAGGACATAGCTGTTTTCATAAATCTTCTTTTGTTTACAATGTTCACAAGTCGAGAATAAATCAAACGCTTCTCATGTACTAGGGATTTTAATACCAGAGTTTTTTGAAATGTGGCAAGCAGTCCATTGGCAATCGATTTGCGTTTGCTTATTAAAGGTCAGCTATAATTTTACTTCTTGGCTGTGGCTTTTTTTTTCAAAGTTGAAGAATTTGTGGACTACTCTAAGTTCCATGTCTTCGTTATTTCACTTACAGGAGCTCCTCATCCGCATTTCTGGTAAACCTAGCATTGTATGCGTGTAGAAATAAATTAACACTTATAAATGTATGTAATAGCAATGAGACAGCACTCATTAAAAGTAGAGGATCATCAGCCAGAGACGCTTCTACACGTCTGATCCTACCCTCAATATCTACGACGGGCCACATATGGAAAGTATATTAAATTGCTTAATTGACTAAGAAAGAAACAGATAATGTGAAAAATTTACAGCATATCTCTTACTATTACTATTACACTAGTCAACTTTCCTATAAAGTGTACGTTTTCTTTTAAAAACGTGCTTAGATTACGGTCTACATGAAAACTCTGCTTTAAAAACGCTAGTGTAATGATGGAGAGTCCAGCCAGAGGTTCTACCCCATGCTAAAATCGCATGTGTGCTCTATTCGCGAGTTCCTGAAAAGCTCATTATTGAGTAGCTTTTGAAAATTTTATGTATCCTAACGTGGACATGATGAATCAGTATTTCATTTTTAGCATAAAGCGATCGGTCAGACGTTGCTTGACGAGGTGGCTAGACATCTGAACCTGCTCGAGAGTGACTATTTTGGCTTGGAGAGCATCGATAATTCTGGATGTCATGTCAGCTAGCTTAATTAGACATTATTCATTTTCGTTTTTAACTAGATTTTTTCGCTTTCAATCGTTTGTGCTGAATTTCTTTTCTAACGATTTGGGGTGAAAATTATGGGTTGTATGGAGTCTGCTCAAATGGCCAAGAACGGGGACGGACCTGATTTCCTAGTTTCCTAAGAAATTCGAGTAGACTATTCTGCAAACAACGGCTATTATGGCGGTTTTCTTTGTGCTGTGGAGCAATCAAAATTTTTCGAAGAGGAATTCATGCTATCGTGATATTCTAGCGAGGCAATTAGAATGCACATAATAATTATAGTGTTTTTAATATTATCAGTAATTCGTGGAATAGTAACGATAAATAAAGAGCAATATTATATAGGCGTCGTCTAAACTAAAACTAGTAAAAAATAAAATAGCGGCAACAGTACTTCTTTATTACTGTTTGGTTTCTAATATCGTTAACCTGAGCGGTCACCAGTGAGGTTTCCATTCTTGTACTTGGCAGAGCTACTCATTTGGCTCCGCTGATCCTAGCGATACGGAAAACACTTGCGTTATGATGTGCCCTTTATAAAATCTTTTTCAATTTGCGATAAGGTAGCCACAAGTACCTTGTCAAGTCAGCCTTGGCTGAAGTTCATTTTTAGCCGTGCTTCCAGACGAAAATCTCAAACATGTTCTCAGCTGTGGATGTCATACTGAAGGGTACAGATTTAACTTAGTTTCCCATTAGGTTGACCATCTTTCATTATCGGGTTTCTACCTATTTCGATATTACATTGAAGTGTTCCGCGTTGATAACTGCTTTTTCCACTTAAACTACAAAATTATTTAACCGAGTAAATTACGTGTTGGTTGGTGCAAGGATAATCTCTCATGTTGTTATCATAAAGTTTACAATTTCACACTCATTTCCTATTCAGCAATTTGCCATACAATACATTTCTTGAGCTTAGTTTACAACCAAACTATAACGGTTTAAATGATGCTCTCAGAACTTGGAAATTCCGTTATCTTTATGATTTCAAAATTGGAAATATAATGGCGGCAAAATGTTGAAATGTCATTAATGACTGAACTAGATTATTCTTCTGAAAACACAATGAAAAGATAGTGCGTAAGGTTTCATGCTGAAAACATAAGTTTTAATGAGGAGGAAGGTTCTTGACTCCTATCAATAGTTATCGACGATGATCCGAATCCAATAAACAAAGCTTCCATTTTAAAAAATTGCCTTTAAAGTTGTGGAAGAATCGAACACTCATGGCAAAACTTTACAATGGTTCGTCATTTGAAAGGTATTCTGAAGGTTAAAAATTCGACAAGTAGATACCACACGAACGGCATGGATATAAACGAGATCGCCGTCGTTATGTTGTTCTAGTTTTTTTCTATTCAGCAAAAAGGCAATTCGTCCGTCGTATCGTGATGTATGATGAAGACTAGTTCTTATATGATAACCAACGCCCTTTATTCCAGCGCCTGAAAGATGCTTCTAAGTCTTTTCAAAATCTCAAGAGATAACTATGACCAATTTTTTTGTTTTTCGCGAAGAAGTCAAGTAACGTGAGGTATTCAATCTTTTTGAAACAGCGATAACAAAGAAATAGTGTCACAAAATCGATGAAGTACTGCGAAAGCGGAAATCTTCGATGAATTCGTTGTCTCAAGTCCTTCGGAGTTTTGTGCTGTCCTAATAAATAAGCTTGATGGCAAAAATGTGTAGATTCTAGTAGTCCTTCTTTTAATCAATATATTTTTGTCCCAGTCTAGTTATAACGGCCTATAATTCGCAACTCTGAAGTAACTACTTCTGCAACAAGCTCGTAATATGATGCTTTCCAGCACCTCGGATGAAGCTGAAATCAGCTGAAACATTGGCCAATATGAATGTTCGACTAACGAAGTGGTATCATATTCTAAAGAACACGACAATTTAATGCACCTTTTCTTTATACAGTGTATTACCTAAAATCACAAGCAGTACCAAAAATTTTGGATGTGGATTTTGGAACAAACGCGAAAAGGAGAACAGGAGAGAAAACCCTTGTCCTCTAAACACTCTTTTTGCAAAAAATAACAAGAGGCGAGAACCAATATGGAATAAACACTAAATCTGCTGAGACCCAAAAGCCTTTCAAGCTCACATTTCTTCACTTAATTTTCTTTTGCATTTTCCTTAAGACCTATGGAGCACTCTATTTCGAATTGGATTATTGTACAATAACATATTACTGGAAAGATGTTCTATTGAAGTAGTTTCGCAAAGCTTATACGTCTAAAAATTTCTCGGAAACTGTTAAAACATATGAAATAGCCTCAATGTTACAGTGTTGGCTCGATGCTGACAAACCGATACTGCGTCAGATCAGTTCTCATTGTAACGACGCACGGTTTTACTTCATTGTTAAGTTCTATACACCAAACCCAATCGACTTGGAAGAAGAATATACTCGGTTGGTTTCTTTTCCACATTCCAGAAAATATTCTCTAAAGGGTCCTTGGGGACATTGGCTTTCGTTTCCATTTTTTCGTTTTCCTTTCTTTGATGACAGCAGTCGATAGTGCGAATTTGTTTGATGACGAGAAAAGTTTTTCACTATGAAATTTAAGTTTCATTCATAAAATGGAGATTCTTAACTAGTTTTTCTCCCAATAAAATCATATGTTTTAGAACTACTGCGAGTACTATATAGTTTACTAGCAAAGGGACGTTTCCGTTTTTTGAACCTTATTGCTTCTTACCTAGATACCTGTTGAGTCTTCAAATTCGTCGCGACTTATCAGTAGGTGAATTGCACTGTGCCGAGACGACAGCTGCACTTCTGGCAGCATATCTCGTGCAGGTGAGCCACCTTAGCTACTCTTAATAGCTCTTCTACGGCGACGACCATCAGTGATTGCAGTCCGAATGTGGAGACTTTTCGGCTGAAGACTATCCTGATGCGACCTATCTCTCGCATTCGCGGTTCATACCACATCAAACTATTGAATTCCAGCAAAAAGTGATGGAGAACCACAAGAATTTGATGTTAGTTTATATCTTCTCAGTTAATAGTTTCTACTTAGAATCTACAATTTCTTTTCTTTGAGTTTTTCTTTATTCATCCTTCATCCAAGAGACATATGTTTGAATGAATGTCGGTTACAATCAAATTCAAAAATGTTATTATTACTAATGCTGTTATCACTATTCCCATTATTACCATTACTTTTACACATTTGGAGCCCTTCTTATTTATTTGTTCACTTGTTTGTTTTCAATTTATTAGTCAGTTTACAGTTTCTGGCCAAATTGTGTTTTTAAAAAAGTGTTTGAAAAGGTGTGTTTAAAAAGCTCCTTTTTCGGATCTTCATAGTCCCCCTTATATCTTCAGTCCACCATATTTTTATAAAAATTGTTACAAGTGGTTTTTTTAATGGTATACAACGATTGAGATAAGTCTATTTTATTGTGTCCATATGACGTTCAAATACATTCTAGAACAACGAACATCTACGAACATGTTCTCAAACGGTGGCCTGTTCTGTAGGAGCTCCACTGGACACGTCTTCTCTCTTCTTGTACGAAAATATTCCATTTCGAAATATATTGAATAAACAAGTTATTCTCCCTTGATGAAATGGCGTCTTGTGGACTGGTCACGTTACGAATTTCATTCCGGAACTCGACGTACTCGCTGAGGAATGTCGACAGCGTTCGGCCACGTCCTCAGCAGTTGTTCATGAGAGAGAGAGATTCTGGCTACATCGCTTTACGCTCTCGAAGTTCGATAGAATGCGGTGACGGCAGTGCCAGTGGTACAACTGACATCTGTAGCGACATTGGCCACACACTGAGTTCACAATAAAAATGTGAACAGTGTGAAGAACCAGTAGTCCTTCATAATAACCACTACGAAATTCCTAGCAATCAATCATTTCTTTTTAAATTTCAGCTAAACCACTTTGAACTAAAATTCGGATACATTGAGGTAAGATTCAACCATATAATAAAGCATGAAGTAGAATTCCTCCAAGCTGGTAATTATTCAGTTGCTCAGTTCATCTCCGTAGGATTCTCGGAAATAAGCTGAACATTATAATCTATCACGTCACCATGCTCCAAGGAATTCTAAGAAGGTACCATTGGGACACATTCTTCGCCCAATCACTCATTTCGGAAAGATTTTTTTTCCATCCAAAATCCCATTAAGCATAAATCAACGAAGTCGCGTCCTCAGGAGAAACTCTATCACATTAACCTCGTTCCGATCCATAAGAGAAAGCAAATATGTGTAGTGTTTTTAACCAGCTTTCTGGAAACTCCATGGAAAGGAACCTTTTTCAGTCAGTGAAACACTGCAGCCTTAAAGATTTACGCTGCGAACTGCATGATCCATTTGATGATTGATAATTAAACTAAAGAGAGCCATCTAAGCATTTACGATAGTTCCACTGTTTTCATAGTATTCAAAGGTACTACTCTTATAAGTATTTTCAAAATTTTAATTTATTACTTACTGCCTAGTCTTTTTAACGGCAGAGTATATTGCAAAGTATAACTTCAATGATGCTGAGATATTAGCAAAACTCCGGACCACAGGTGTCTGTCCACCAAACTATGCGGGTCCTACGTTTCGCCTGTCTCTCAGCTAGTTCTATCGATCTTTTGCCATCGGCAATCACCCGTCAGCGGGACTGATCTGGAGGCCCAAATCGGCAACGAACCCAGTTAAGCTGAGGCCGCAGTTTTAATCACAGCTTTAACTTATTATTTACTGCCTACTCTTTTTAACTCTTTTTAACGGCAGTAGGCAGTAAATGATGAGTTAAAATTGTGTTTATAACTGCGGCCTCACCTTAACTGGGTTCGTTGCCGATTTGGGCTCTCCAGATCAATCCCGCTGACGGCGCTGATGGGTGATTGATTGCTAATGACAAAAGATCGATAGAACTAGCTGAGAGACAGGCGAAACGAAGGACCCGCATGGTGTGGTGGTGAAAGCGCTACTCCCCGGAAAGGACAATAGCGCGTTCGTTCCCCACTTCGTACACCTGCGGTCCGGAGTTTGCACATATCTCAGCATCATTGAAGTTACATTTTCCAAATATCTCTTTTTTCGGTAATTAATTGCTAGTGCAGGAGGCTTGTACCGTGAACAAACTAAAATGTGTCGCTGTCATAAGAACCTCAGTTAATTCTCATAAACCTGTTCAGTTGTAAGAAACAAATCACTCAGATTCTTCTTTCCATAGTGAGGTGCTCAAAAGTCATGAGTCGTGTCGCTTGCATATTACCACAGCTGCGAAGCAGATTTCGAGTAAATATTTGTTACAATTTTAGCAATGAATATCGCTTAGGTGAAGACAGAATACCTTCCATTCGCTTTTAGATCTGAAAAAACTGCAAATGACCTCCGGCGATTTTTGGTAACATCTCTATGAAAGAGTTATTTTAAACCCGTTATCTATTGCATACAAGAACTTTCTCATGCACGTGTGCCCTACTTACCGTACTCGAATATTCCTTTCATTACTGGGAGTTTTCGTGGATGAAATGAGAAGAGACCTTTCGCTGGATAGTCAATCTACCATGGGCTCAATTTGGTTACGGGTAAGCAAAAATCTCATCGATATCTTACAATTTTAGTGGCATGAGCCCTGGTGAAAGCGATTTTGCGATGCTTGAGGTGGCCCGACGATGTGACTTCTATGGCATCAAACTGCATTCAGCCAAGGTTTTTTTTAAATTTATTGACGTCATCGTACTTTAGTGCCTTATATGAATGGTTTTTTAAATTACAGTTTGCTGTTGTTGCTTGTTTTTTTCTGGTTTGAACTGTTTTGAAACGTTCCAGTTTTTACAAGTGATGTTAATATGAGAGTGACTTTGTCTTGTAAAATAAGGTAGAGTACAAGCGACAACCTTTCACGACTTAATAATCATGTGGATCATCAACATAACTCCATGTCAGTTCATTGTCTTTCGGATCAATAAAGAAAATGCTTTCCTTAATATCTCCCTTCACACACTCATCCTTGCTTCACTTCATGAATTCTCTTTTTTGTAACTTCGCCTTTAAAATTTCATATTGGGTGCTTTAAAGGTCAGCTTGCTAGCACCTTCAAAAGCTAACAGCTGTTCTTTCCCAACTGCTGCAAAAATTTAACAGTAGAAAAATTTTGTGACTTAAATGGATGTTCCAAAAATACCTTTCATGAGGATCACACCACGAAGTAAAGTGTACTTTTTTTCAAAAGAAGAGACTTTTGTTATTACAGGGCAGTAGAGAAAAAGTCGTAAATTTCATCACACAACAGTTTTAGTCGGTCCCTAATCCATCTGTTTATTGCAGCTTACTCGTTGGAAAATTTTTTACTTCCTTGTTTTGTTAGGGGTTATTGTTACAAACAGAACTGAGTGTTTTGGTTAGCGGCTCCATGCAAGGGCGAAATATGAATCCAATCACCTCTACGGTACTAAAAAATGGTGTCGAATGCTGTGAATTATGTGTCTCTTCAACAAAATGTCGTAGACCTAAAATTTTTTTCACTCCTGTTATTAACCTTTAAAGGACCCTGATTTCACTTATCATCTTCCTATCAATGTGGAATAACTCCATTGGAATAGAGCGAGTTTTGAACCTGATGTACGTTGAAACTATATTATTCGAGGCGCACGCTATGAAATAGGTGGACTGGGTGCTAGAATTGAGGCATTTCATTTTTTTCATTACCGTCATGGATGTCCAAAGTAGTGGAAATTTAAGTAAATGTGAAGGACTACAGCAAACCCCACTGATTTCTGAAACTTAAGCGTTTGGACTATTTGCACAATCATTTCCCGTGAGCAATATGATTCTACTCAAAATGTGTTGAATCGGTGTTTTACAGGTTTTTTCGAGTTACTGTGTGCACTCCTTGAAATATTTTATTCTTTGAAAACTGTGGATTTATAAAAGCTTCACGTCAATAGATGTTCAGGATATCGAAGGCACTGAGGCGCGGCTTGCTGTTCTTCATCTCGGAATCAAAGTCTACCACCAGCTGCAATGTGTTTCGACATTCTCATGGGCAAAAATTCGCAAGCTTAGCTTCAAACGGAAAAAACTATTGGTTAAACTTCACCCGGATAGCTATGTAAGCACTTATCCTAGTAAGAAAAATAACAAAAATTTTTTTCGTCTGAATCTGGAAAATGAAAATGCAACTGATGAACAGCCCTCTATTACTCCTTGATTTTAGCAGTACTACAAAGAGACGATACAGTTCGTTTTCGACTCACGAAACGAGTGCAAGTCGTTTTGGAAGAAATGCGTGGAGCATCATGCCTTTTTTCGATGTTCAGCTGCTGACTGTACACGTAAAGACAGTCGATTATTTAGCAAAGGATCCTCATTTCGGTACTTCAGTTGTCCATCGCTCTATGAGACTTTTTGTAATCGCAAATACAAAAACAGCTAGTGTGAATTCAATCAATAAGTCGGTGAAGACTTGGCTTAGACGGTTTTCTCGTTTAGATATCACGGACGAACTCAAAAGCAACTGATTGACTATGTTCGTGAGCATCACAAACGGAGAGAGCCATTTACAAGGTACCTCTACACTTACCTACTGCCATTTAACAACCTGGAATTTTTGACCTAAAATAAAAGGGGTGTGTTTTTGAGCACACATCAAAAAAAATTTTTTTTGCTCAGTGATTGCGGTGATTTTCTCGATGGAAATGTTTCTATGATAGGGTTTTTTCCTGAGCGTGAAGGCTTGAAATAAGATGCTACTCCAATCTTCTTTCCATGGCTACGAACACTTTTTCGTTCTTGTCTCTTTCTTTCCTTTATTTTTCCTTCGCATCCAATTTCAATCAAAATTATTTCGATCTACACATCACAACTCAAAAAGATACCAAACCCTAGCGCTGTTGTTTTCAATGTTCTTTTTCTTCTGCAGTAATCTTCAATGAAGACAAAAGTCGCAAACAAGGTCTACTTTCTCTTTTGACGCTATTTGAAAGAAGACCGATATTACAGTAAAATGTCCTTGTCGTGATCTAGCAACTGCACTTTTTCTTTTTTTTGGACGAATGATGAGGGCTAAATCCTTTGATAAACAAATTATCTTATTTCTATTAAACCAACAGTAGTGTTTCTTGGTTAACTACCTTCACTCGAAAACTCTTTAGAAGAATTTTATCCCGGCGTTAAAGCCAAATATCCAAAACACAAAGAAAAAAAAAACAAAAAACATGGATTTACCGGTCCCTCTTTATCTATTAATTCTCATCCGGATCTATAAAGTTGACTTCTACGATCCACGCTAGCAATATTAAATTACTTGGACCTTTCTATCAGTTGATAAATTAGTAATTGCAGGCCTCTACGACCGGCAATCTCTTCGTGCTGTGCTCCACCGTTCGCTAACTACTCGGTAACGCCTGATCGGAAAAAGAATGGCAATCCTCACTTCTCTCTCCCGCAGCTATCAAATCATACACCGTCACCGAACGCGATCGACAACGCAGGTACTTTAGATGCACGAGGACATCGTCACGAAACAGAACACTCTGAACGGCAGAAACATCGCGCGCAACAAATTCTATCTAAAGAATCGTATGGTAAAGAGAATGTGTCGCTTTCACTGCCCAATGTCCTCAGCGATGATTTGCAAATTGTTTGTAAAGAGCTAGAGATTGAAAATTCTGAGCCACTTAAATCACTTTCCGGTGATAACTTTAACAATATTCGCCCTGACTACGATAACATAAGCGAGGACTCTTATCGACTATCTGACCATGAACGTTCCACAAAGTCCGATGTTGGCGTGCCTTCGCATCAAATCTGTAACACTAACTTTACCACTACACGAGTTGGCAATGTGTTAGTAAAACGAGTAATTACACAATCGAAATCAACCCCGCATTGGGCGAGAGACGATGGAGCATCTACCAACATAGCCAGCTCTTCATGCACAACTAGTCACCATCTCAAAGAGTACCCGTTTAATTCGACTAATTTCGTTCCAATTGAAATTGATGGTCCAAATGTGGATATATCTGTAAGAAGAAGTACTGGTCCAATATATACCTCAAAAGGGGCTTTACTGTTGAAACCAAAAGTAATTTCGACACACGAGGGCGAGTATTCTACTGTGAAAGTGATTTCTGATCCAAACTCTTCCTGCTCGACAAAAGTGCCACGAGCGCAAATCTGCACTACGTCCGAAGTGCCACTCTTCGATGGAAAAGGTCCATTGCCTGGAAAAATAATCACCAAAGAAAATATGGTCATCACACCAAACGGCGTGAAGGAGCGAGGTCCAAAGCCAATTGTCTTGCCGAAACCAGCAAATTTGGGTACGACACAGCATTTGGCCGCTCATACCGCATCACTGGAGGAACATCCTGTCGTACACATGATGGACCAACCACAATTGGCGAGGACACAGCAGGACAAGTCTGAGGAGAAGTCGGAGCCCAAACTTCCTCTAACTCGTCCAAAATTGATCTCAGTGAAAAGCGAGGATAGCCCAAACGTAGAAAAGTGTCATCTATTCAACAGTGAAATTCCCTACACTTTAACACTCCGGAAAGTAGACAGCGCAGAGTCATTGTCATTCCCAATGTTCAAAGATCGACAAAAGGAATTTGATACAAGTTCTCTAAGGAAATTGTCAAGAAGCCCAGATCAATTTATGAGACGAAAATCACTTGATCTGGTACCTCGAAAGCGGCTTCCATCGCCGAGGAACTTCTCCTCACAGGACCACTCTATTTCCCCTACTACTCCTGAGGGAAACGTACTGGACTACGTGTTGAGGCATCGCTCGCAAAGCCATGAGCGACCAGGGAAACGTGGAAAACGTGGTGATGTCAGAAGACAAACACAACCGGTCCGCTTTGATCTTCCTCCAAGTCCTTGTTCTCCCACAATCAGTGGAAGTACCCCTTTTATTGGTTATCTAAACGATGACGTCATCGATGACACTGTGTCAGACTCGCGAAGTTTGCACGACGATATGGATATGCTCGACCGAGGTACTGCTGTCGTCGCTAACACTCTGGAACAAAAGGACGATTCGGAAAGCACTGACTGTCTTCCTTTACCACCAGATTCTAATCCCAAGCCTCCACCACCACCACCGCCTCCCAAATCAAAAGTAGTGTCAGAACAAGTTGCCGAGATGAAGACGTCGATTATCAGGACGTCGGCTGTGAAGCCGTCATTGATGACCGCGTCGACGAGTTTTCCTAAGCAAGCAGAGTACACGCCTTTCATTGACGAATCGCCGAAAAGCTCGGATGAAACATTACCGCTTTCACGTCGAACAGAATCGGGATTGCTTTGGACAGACTTCTAACGTATTTATTTCATTTTCGTTTCGTAACATGGACCATTCAAGAGAAAACATTACCATTTTTTGCTTGTTTTATAAAATTTCTGTGCGCACTTTAGAACTCACTTGCTTTCGAAGGAAGTAAGCCAACATCTGCGTTGTGCTCTTACGTAGCAACGTGCATTGTTCCTTTTTTTGTGGGGATCTGAAAGCCGTATCATTTTGCTTCTTGTGTCCCAGGAAAGTTCGTGCAACGATATGTTCTCACAGAAAATTTATCTCTTAAACCTATGTGTGCTTTTCTCTGCACCCTGCACCGGTTATACAGCAAATGAAATCCTTTGGAGTTCTAGACTTAATCTTGTATTGCACAAAACTACTATAGATTTCTATGCATTGCTTCCAATCTCGGTAGACTATCACAACGTCTGTTCACTCTGGTAGGCGTATCAACTAATCGTTCACCATAAAAATCCGGCTTATACGGAATTACGCCAACTAACGGGAATTTTTCGAAGAGAAAGAAATTGACGAACGCCTTGGTAAAATCTGTGACGAGCCGGATTTTCTGAACAGTCCATTACCACACGTCACAGTGTTCCGATCAGGTAAACGACAATGCCTCAATCCTTGACACTTCTTGAATATTCGTGCCTTCCACACATAATGAGAGTGTGGCATTTACATTCTTCCGCGTTAGCACCTCTCTAATAAATGTTTTCTTCTGTTTATTCTGAGCGACTTCTAGACTCCAGAAGTGAAATCAGTATCTTGTTTATAGCGTAGACGAGTACGACACAGGATCTATCACATTGATACAATCAGTTATTCACATTAAAGCACTCGCCACATAATTTATTCCCGCTTCATTTGACAGCAAAACGAAAACTTTTTTCAACTTGCCGCATTCGTTGATTCGTTAGGGCTCCGTGTCATACAAGAAGACAGATGAAGTATGCATAGATTATTTGTTCATTTGAATTGTATTGCATTTCACGTGTTTGCGTGGCCACATCATGTTTTTTCCTGGAAGATCTCCGTTCGTTATGTACGTGTTGAAGGTGCAATATTAGCCATTTTATCTTCTATCTGGGTATTGTTACAACTGATAAGCTCTGAATGTTCAATTGTGCATCGCATCACTTTCAGTTATTGTGCAATAAGCATTTGTCAGCTGTGCCTCAATTAGAAATTAAAGTGAAAAAATTTATTTTGTTGTCTGTTCTCGCAGATCTATGATTCTTATATAAAGATAGCTCAATGTCACATCTTAGTAAGATAGTACAACGTGTACACCCGTTATTTCTTTGCATCAAAAAAAATTTCACTGAAACTAGTTTGTTCTGTCAGAAGCCGTTGGAGAAATGTACCAGTTATACGATCAGTACTTTACCGCAATACACAAAAAAGAACTGTACATCTCATCTGCTATCGGTAGGAATCGCTTCCGTTTAGCGATTTAAATCTCAAACAATAGGTCCACATATTTAAAAATTTCACTTAAGCCCTGTTCTATCGTAAGAAATACGATTGGCACTCCATACATGCTCTTTCCAGTACTGCAAATCAAGACATGAAGGTTTCAGCACTTAGCGCAAAAATATTGCAAAAATAGCTTAGTGCTGGCTAAATAAATAGAGAGGAATAATCAAGACTAGCGCTTTTCTTAAAAAATTGAAAGTGTTAAAGAATACCTTCAATTAAGGATAGTTCAGTTATCTACTTTTTACTAACTTGAGTTTAGAATCACTAAAAATAGAAAGATGATCAAGTACTGCTATATCGAATTATTGCACAATTTTCAAGGTTCCAGAGGAAAAAAAGTAGACAAAACATAACAGTAGACCTGATATAACCGCAAATGTCTTGTATAATGCGCATATTAGATCCCAAGTACTAAACTGAGTGGTGAGCGAGATTTTCGACTCCAACTACTATAGCAACCTGTATGAATTCCACGTGAAAAAAACAGCAGTGATTTTCCCGGTGGGTTTCTTCTATATATGTCTGTTGCCAGTTTATTCACCTACTAGTCTATCTGCTTAAGAATTCTAGGCCACTTTCGGTTTCTTGTCAGTCTCAGATTTCTTCCATTTTTCACTCTATTGTTTTCGTGCATTCGCTGTGAAAACTCAAAATTGTCGATCAGTGGTGGTTGTGGCTTGCTGATTGTGTAGTGGTCGATCCGCATGTGCTATTTTCTCCACGAGAACCGAAAAGCTTCTAATGCCACCAGCTTTGATATAATTTGTTTGTTTTCAGTCGATTAATAGTGACTTTCAGGAGAGAAATGAAAGCCATTTGCAGACCTGTGTCGATCACACCACAAAAGCACAGCCATCTATGGAGTGAATTCTACGTTTTCTTCCGATATTGCCATCAGATCTGATATCTACCAGTTGCCGAGAAAGTAAGAAACGATTTGTGTTAAATAACAGTCGTTCGAGAACGATAAGAACTTTGTCCAATTGTAATTAACTAACATAACGTACGCGATTCGCAAGGCGATATCCTTTTTTTCTCTTTTGTGCCATTTAGCAAGAATAATCTTGAGAGATATAACTCGTATATAATGCTGAGATATTTGCAAAACTCCGGACAGCAGGTGTATGTGGTGGGGAACGAACGCGCGCTATTATCCGCTATAGAACTAGCTCAAAGACAGGCAAAACGAAGGACCCGGATGGTGTGGTGGTGAAGTGCGCTACTCCCCGGGAAGGAGAATAGAGCGCGTTCGTTCTCCACCGCATACATCAAGGTCCGGAGTTTTGCAAATATCTCAGCATTATATACGAGTTATATTTCGCAATATACCCTGCCATTAAAAAGAAAAAGGCAGTAAATAAAAGGGTTAAAATCTTGAGAGACTGAATCCATCTTACTGTGAGGCCTTCTCTTTCTCTCGTGAGATTTAATTTACTGTCGTTTGTGTGATATGAACCGTAGTACAAATCGAAACATAATTCCATGCATTGATTTCAACACAGTGTGCGTTTGAGCACTGAGTAAACATGTAAAACAAACATATCCTAACTCTTAGTGAATATGTAGAAACCATTAGAATCTGCAGATTTTTTTTCAAAATTACAAGTTTCTTTTTTAAAACCAATAAAATTCTGCTTTTTTAAAACCCATGAAACTCATGCTTTCGTTTTTCTTCTCGAGACTCGCGTTTCGAAAGCCGAAGCGATTGAACAACAGTCGGGATTTCTCAGACCAAGTCACGATTTCGCCAGTGTATAACTTATATTGGCGAAAAAATTTCGAAGACGGAAATTTCGTTTCCCATTTTCTTTTAAATCTTAGCCTTAAACAAACTTAGAACTAGAAGCACATTTTAGAAAGATCATTCAGACTGTTAGAGCCACGTAACAAATCCTATTTTATAAGCCTACTCGCGAGCAATGCTTCTTAAATGGTAATTCTGTGGTTTCGGAAATTGTGTTGGAACTATGCACCAAACACTTCTAACTGACAATAGTTTTTAATGAGAAGATTGACAAGATTCACCATTACCTTCTCATTTAAGCACAAAAAAAAATTTAAGAGCAGGAACAAGTGCGAGTCTCTGTTCAAGTGTGTCGCAACGAAATCGCGAAAGATGTGAATCTAGTGAAAGTGGAAGTGAATCGCTCGGAGGCACACTGTACTCTAAAGGTTTTCCAATTTTTTTCCTCCAGTAAAGATTTTCAGAGTTTTTTCTTGGAATTTTTAGTATATGTAATGGTCTGTGAGAGGAATGTAGGATTACCTTATTCATTATTGTTTGCAACCAATAAAAGAAGCCGCCTCGCAGCTACCGCCCATGATCGGTTTTAATGCATGGTATCCAATATGACTTCATTTTGCTGAGGCCTTTGTGAACTAAGACGCTCGTCGATAACGGTATAAACGAAGGCTAGTACCTTCTAGGTGTCGTTTATGCTTTAGTCCTCGTATAGCAATAGCGTCTCTCTCAGAGCGTCTAGGTCAAGCGTAAGAGGACTTCCGCATACGAGAACATTTTTGGATCTCGTTTCGCCTTTGTCAACTCTTGAGCCGGAATCTTATCGTTTGTTCGCTATTGGAATTCGGCGTACATGAGGAATGAAGAAGAAAACAGGTAGTAAATAAAAGTTAAGACATTGTTATTTGGACTGCAGCTTGTCTGAGAGAAAGGCAAATCGAGTGCCTCAGTTGTGAAGTGGGTAACATGTGAGCTCCTGGAAAGGGTGATCGCTTGTTCTAATCTGGGCCGAAGTTTTGGTTTTGTATATGCCTCAGCATTATGTAGCTGATTATTTGTTATATTTCTTCGTATGTAGGTACATAGGTCTCATTCTTCTATCAAAAGTTGTAGGCCTTAAGCACAATGTATTGGAAACACCACTAATTACAACAAGTTCTAGGCAACATTTAAGAAATCACGAGTAACGTATAAATGAAAACCAGTACGATTCTAGACACTTCATTGACTTCTCCCGATATTAACAGTTTGCCAAAGACTGATGATAATAAACTTGATTACGAGTTGTGGACGGACTTCTCTGTCATCTACACTGATATGGAAGAAGCGACTAGTGCTAGCAAAGAGGTAATTGAAATTTTCATTACAAATACATTGATTTTTTGAGGAAAATGTTTCCGTTAGGCCGTTCAAATAAACGCACGTTGTTTTTCTGTTAGTTCCAGCAAGTTTCGGCAAACATCCTTTGATGAATGCCGAAGCGATTTAAAGACCTTGGAGAAAACCTAGCTTCGTTCCAAGTTTTAGCTGATGCTATAGAATGCAAGCAAATACAACTGACACCGATTTGTATAGAATTAATTTGTTGCAGCAGTAATTTGTTGCAAAGTGTTCCAGTGTAGATATACAGTTAGTGTGGCAAAATTTGGGTGCTTAGTACTTTGTAGTCTTACGCGACCTCTCTTATACAATACAGTTCTTCGTAGGTTGGTCTCTCTGACATGTGCTATCAAATCAGGGAGGATCTCCTCGATCACGAACGATGTGCGTCCAGAGACTTTCGATTGGTTTGTGAGGTAGCTGTTTAATATAATTTGCTACTCTACCTATTTCTCATTACTTTTCAAAGATTCGAAGATTATAGAAGTCATAGGATAGAAGCTGTTGTCTTTGTCACTGCAAGTCTCATTTGTTTTGGGCCAACGTATAAATCTATATATAATCTGTAGTCTCAATAATCTTAATATCGTATCCATTGATACAATTTTTGTCTTCTAGAACCTTCCACGTTTGATAGAACCGTTTCTAGACAGTTCAGGAGTAATAATGGAATTATCCAAGAAATTGAAAGAACTGAAGGATGCGCAGACTTGTTTCCTGGAGGAAATCAGTGGTTCAGAGTAATTTCTTATACCTTATGTTTTAGTCAATTTTTTTGCGTTATTTTTATCGTGCAGTTCTATCTAATTTCTTGGAGATTTTTTAAATATCGTTGTATGATCTTTGCGAGACTCTTTTGTAGAAATATATCACAACTCGCGCATCGAGTCCTGTGCACGACTCACAACGTCATTCCAGCTTATGCATCCTTACTAGAGCACTACCCTATCTATATCGCTGCTCTTGACCAATTGGCAAAGAGCAACGCAGAATTTCGATCTCAGATAAGGTACGCCGACCGACGTTTTGTCAGTAGAAACCACAGTAAATCCATGACGCTGTCGATCTACTTTTCCGTTTAGGGAATTTGAAGCATCCAACCAGTGCTATATACCTTTGAACTGGATATTGTTGAAAATCCTTCATCGTGTCATAGCATGGCGACCGGTGCGTTTTCCTTTACCACCTTTCTTACAATTACTTTGTTGTAAATGCAGGGATTTAAACTGCCAGCCATAAAGCAGTGTAAATTAGCCTTCAATAAAATCGTTTTTTTAATGTAGAACGCACAAACGTTCACACAAACGTTACTTCACTGGCAACAAGTATTTGCCCGTTCGTTTTCAGCACTATTTTCCTACGTACAATCATTTTGCCAAGTTTTCACTAGTTGTCGTTGTATACCAGTAGTTTGTAATTCCTTGAGCAAATGCTTGGATAATCCATACATTAACTTGTTCTGCATCCAACTAACACTTACGCGACGTTGCCTAATTTCATCTCATTAAGGACCTACTGGTTTTTCGGCAATAGATGGTAGTAGTTCGACAACCAGGAGACTTATTTGGTTGAGATCATGCAGTACAGTAAAAAAAAAAAACCTCGCTCTATCGTCTATCGCTCTATGCGTATAATTGCTATACGAGTTATTACGGGTTACGAGTTACGAGCTATTTGCTATATGTTACTATGGTCCGTCAAATAAAGTCTTTTACTTCTTACACCTGCCGCAACGTCTGCGTTAAACATGTTCCCGATTGATTACAAGAACTGTAGAAAAACACTTCTGTGCGCCAAAATAAACCACCGAAAACAAATTGACCCCATAGAGGTCTTCCGTCCACTGTGTACCCTAAAAAATTGCTCGCACAGAGGTCACGCCGTCGTATAAGTGTTAATTTGCCTACCTTCACTTCCCCAATTTCTTGCCTCCAAACTTTTTAGTCTAAAACAATAATAAACAATGAAATAAAAAACGATTAGGACTGACTAAAATTGTGAAGTCTGCGCTTTGAATTGATGTAGAACAAAAAATAATTAAATGTAAGCTTGTGTTTCAACAAACGTGAAAATCTGGAGTAACAAAATCGATACGCAGTCAATGATTGTTTCATTCAGTTGTTCTTTCTTTTATCCACTAAAAAATCACCTGATAATTATGTGAAATCGAAAAATCCAGTACCAATTCCTTTTTCTCCAAGTCTGCCTCGAAAAATATGGACTTGAAGAGGTAGTCTTCGGAAACAGGTCAATCAAGTGTACATTCTTGCGGTGACCAAGCGAAATTTCCAGCACTCACATGTTAGTTCCAGATCTTAACGCGACTGGTTGAGTGGCAACTCTCGGAAGGTGTGAACGACGTTAACTTTGGTCCTATCCGCGTCGCTTTGGAGAAGATCTCTCGATTCGCCGACAGCACCAGAAAACAACGAGAGGCGATCATTGAATTTGTCGCGCTTCTTCAATTAGAAGCTGACACTGCCACACAAGGGCTTCTAACACAACCAAATAGAGTAGTGTTATACTTTTCTTGATTATTCTTTCATGGTTAGTTCTTAATCACAAGTCAGATAGTATTTCATAGTACAGAGGATTACAAAAAAAGTCACTCGTGTGGGGACTTAAGACATTGTTTGAAGTTTTTATGTATACTTATATGTATTAGGGGGAGGATAGAACAGTGTTAATGATGTCCGTTTTCACGAGCATGGCTCTACGCCGATTCCGCTCCGGCCCAGCCGAGCCTGTCAACCTTCCGGGGTCGGGGAATTGATGCAGGACTTGTCTAGGAAAAAATCGCTCTCTGTAATCCAATTGGGAACGCTCCCGCCCGGCTATCTCAGGACTCCAGGAAGAATTCCTCGACCAACATTCAACGACATTCAAGATGAAATGACAATCCTCAAGCAACAAGTGAAGTCACACGTAAAGACATGGAAGACCTTCGTGGACGATGCATGCGAGGAAACGAATCGAAAGTGAGAAGTGCTGGGATCCGCACAGTAGACGTGAAGACGGATGAAATAAAATAAAATAAAAATAAAAAAATTTATATGTATTTACTTATGTATGTTTTTCTAATCCACTCTATGGGTGAAGTTGGAAAAAATAGTTTTAGTTTCGGTTTTTAGAGAACATAAGCACTGATTCATTGAATGTTATATCTTGCAAGAATAATAATAAAAGACATGCAACAATACGTGCAATTTTGATTTTTGTGCCTTAATTTTACTGTTCTCGTAGAGTAACTCCTCAGTTCGTGAAATAGTAACTGGGATTGCAGCGACTGTTGCGATTTGGTTGGGTCGAGAGATGGTCAGAGCGCGGTCTATCGCCACGGATGCTGCTTCTGTTCAGCGACGAAGTGCTGTTAGCTCACCGTTCTCAAGCGACACCATTTGCCATCAATGTCGAATTAAAACTGAAAGGACTATTGGTTCGACAAGTGCTTAGCGTTGCGTATTGACATACTACCTTTCTTTACTCTTCAAACCTTTAGGTGGAGGACGGTGACTCATACGAAGTTACTGGAAAACGAAGCGATGCATTCACTCTCCACTTTGGCAGGAAATCCATAGTTCTGGCTAGTCCTGACAAAGAACGTTGGATAGAGGCTAGTCCATTTTTTTAGACTTGTTACTGATTTAGTTACTAGAAGAAGATAGGCTATGGAGTAATTGTGATCGTTGTATGAAGGAGCATTTTAGGATATCAGTTCTGCTGTAAAGCAACATGTGAAAAATCGCTTTGAGCTTCCATCTATTACAACTGAGGGCGATCATCGATTTCCAGACCTCGGACGCGATTTTAAAGGTACTCTCAAGAAATGACTTCAGCTGTTTCTGGTTCTAGTGTAGTTCATTTAGGGGGTACAGTGGATGAGTTACAAGCGAAGGATCGTCGAAGATTAAGTCCACTGCAAGTCTGTTGGCATCGCAAGACAACGCTTGGTATTCACCAAATTTATGATGTTCGTCAATTCAGAGTAATAAAAACTTGTGGTTCTAAGACTGCAGATTTTTCAGGCTCTCAAACCTTTATTAAAAACAGCAAAATAACATTTTTAGGCAGAATTATTATGCCCATCAAATTTAGCACCTACGTCATTTATGCCTACACCTCCAAATCCTTAAGTCTGCTCAATATTAAAATACCTTCATTTTTAGATTGTCACCGTCTGTCAATCTGGATATCTTCTGCGGAAATTGCGGAATTCGAACGGTTGGCAGAGATTGTGGACAGAACTCACATCTCACACATTATTCTTCTATAAGACTCACAAGGTTGATCGCTGCTTCTGCTTTACTAGCTATAACATCTATTTGAACTCTCAATTTTGAAGGATATTGCACCGATAGCCAACTTGCCATTACTCGAATACAAATTATGCATGCCATCTCTTGCCGATCGCGTGCACCACTCTAATTGTTTCAAGCTCGTGTACTCAACTCATGAATACTTCTTCCGCACCACTGGATGGTATTCATTCCAAAGGTCAGTGAATCTCGTATTTAACAAACAAGTATAAACTAGAAGACGATAGTGCTATTTAACAGCTTAACAAAAAGTCCAGCTAAATGCATTTCACCTATCATTCCTATTCAGGAATCTCCCTCATAGAGGAATTCTCTCTCTATTAGTCGCGAGGCAACATGGCGCGTCCCAACGTAGCGATAAGGCATTGCTTAGTAGCCGGCTAAAAGTAACCTCGTGGTCTCCTGAGACACAGGTAGAGCCAAGGATGGACTCACTATTTCTGCCGCGCCGATTCCTGTGAGGGACGTGTTCACGCATGTGTGCATGGTTGATTTCTAGTTTACGAGGATGGCATTCTAAGAGTAAATTCGGCAAAAAGCCTGAAAGAAAATGGAAGGAAAGTATATGGGAGACGACTAGGAGATGATTCCGACAAATAAGCTCCCCTTTTACCCGGAGAGAGACTCGCGTGATAGCTGTGAGTATACGCAGCTCCCACGTTCAGTGCTCAGCAAACTTTACGTGTGTATCAAAGGCGGTAAAACATGTGGACATTATTCTCCTGACCTTGCAGAAGTCGCCGATAAGGCACCGTTGTGTAGAATGAGACGAATAGGAAGAGACTGACAAAATCTCAGGGAAACTCGAGGCCACCTAAATCTGGAAGGACTGAGGTGAGGATTCGTAACAACAATGCACACTCACTTGCATCTGTAGAGGCTGAAGATGCAGGCAGGAATGTCATCGGACTGGCTGAGACGAGAGAATACGTCGCCCAAACAAGATCGTCAACGACACCGACAACTCTTCCTCGGAGCATGCGAAAAAAGAGAAGTCGGCGGCGTCGACTTTCTCGTCGATACGAGTTTTGCCATAAAGATCGATTCATTTGAACAAATAACAACCTGAATCGGACGTATACGGTTGAATAGATGTGGATCAATACCGACTGTGACAACCTTCATCGTCTACGCACCAGCATTTAGCTGTGATGAAGACGACGTCGAAGCGTTCTATATGAACTTGGAGATGTTCTACAACGAAGAACATACATTCTGTTAGCCATCACTGGAGATTTTATAGCTAAAATTGGGTCCAGAAGAACATTGAGATCCACGGATTAGAATGGAAAGAGCCGGGTGAGCTACTGTTTGAGTGAATTTATCATAACGCTCAAGCCCATTCATAGTAACCCACAACTCTAGAAGCACTGTTCTCACCATTTGACGTGGGAGTCTCCCAGTGGAAAGTTCCATAACGAAGTAAACCACATAATACTAAATCGAAGATTTTGCCTAACTGATGTCGCTGTTCTTCTAAAATTCTGCATAGGATCACACCATTGCCTCTTTCGCGCAAGATTTCATTTTTCATGAAAGAGAGAAAAAACCGCTAAATTCAAAAAAAGAAAACTAAAAACCACCATAAAAAGGATAAAGAGCTTTCAGCGTTGATCAATCTCTGAAGGATGCGCCATGTGTTCAACTTCATTAAGCATAGTTAGAGGTGACTAAATGCATGCCTGGCCTTTACAATGACTCGCGTTCGCCTGTATCGACTCAGTGCTGCTATCCTCACAGACAAGCCTGGTTCTAATTTACCGAACCCGGAGGGATGAAGAGTTTAGTGGGTCTGGGCGAAGGGATCGGTCCCATGTGCATTGTAGGGCGCCTCCGACCACTGCGCTACACGCGCCCCTAATCGACCATAAACTGGGATTTATTTAGAGAAGATTTATATAGATCATTGCTGGGCAGCTGGTAAGGCACCATTCTCGATAACATCGACGAAGAATACGATCGGCTCATTCAACATCTACACGTTAGAACTATGAAAGCTGGGAGTTCGAAAGTCATCAAGAGACGTCTGTCTCCAGAAACACTCGAGCTGATACACCAACCTAGAATAGCATGAGCTGCAAATAAACTCACGTCCGAAGTTGCAAAACAATGCAAATGGGCCATAAAAGATCTGAAAGGCAAAGGAGTAGCAATTATGGTCAAAGATGCAAAGGCTGGGAAAAGCATTTGCAAAGTCCAACGAAGCTTCGTCAGTTACAAAATTAAGATGATTGCACTACCTTTCCCGGATAGATAAGTTACAGCTTTCAGAAAGGCAGTGAAGGAAATCATTCATTCACGATTACTACACGTACCTCTTCAATAGCCACGTCCTTCTACCTTTTCTACTTGCATATCAAATAAAAGAAGATGGATAGGTATGTCGTCCCATCGGTTCTCTCTATCAAAATCCTTCATGATATTTCGTCGGTGAAAATCGAACAACACCAGAGCCAGACAGGATAAGATCTGAACACCTGAGCAACCCTCCGCTAGTTATCAGCACACTGGCTGGGCCCTTCACACGGTATCTATTAAAATGCATTGCTCCTATTAAATGTAAAACTAGTAACACCGTACTCCTGCTTAAAAAGGGTACTGCTACGGTATCGGTAACTGTCGGTTAATCTGCTCACTGTCTGCCCTCTATTAAATTTTCACACGAGTTACCAGGATTAACAGAACACTGGGCGAAGAACAGCCATTTGAGCAAGTAGTGTTTCGAAAAGGATTCACTACGACGAGCCATATCCATACGGTAAGAAAACTCGCCATAGTGTAAGAGACCGCTCTGTCTCACTTTCGTCGAATTAAAGAAATATTTTGACCCATTTTACATAAAAACAACCATGGAATGGACAAGGATTCTTCGTAAGCTATATAGAAACTTCACAACAAAAATACCACCATTCTGAAACGACATTAACATAGACGTCAAAAGAGAGATTAGGGATGGCTTTACTATGACGCCAAAATGAATTACTGCTACCATCCAGAACGTCATCCGAACACTAGAATGCACGTAAGAGTGAAAATCAGTGGTCAGCAATTACATCACCTTCGTATCGGTGGTGACGTCGTTCTTATAACCAAGCAGTAGCCAGGCTTAACGAATGCTAGCCGACTTGGCCGAGCCGAGAGACTCTTCTTCGACTGAATCTCACAAAAGGCAATGTTAATGAGGATTGAGTACGTATGCCACATTCATGCTCAAAGGAATGAATATCTTCGATTATTTCAGCTACGTCTATCTAAATCGGGAAATCAACATGATGAACGACTTAACTCCAGAGTTGCGCAGAAGGAAACGAGAGGCTTGGGAATTTTCAAGAGCAACATGTAGTGAAGAGAACAAAGAACACCCAACTCCGTGATCACCTTCTCGACTCCACTATTCTTCCTGCCTTAACGTATGAGTCAAAAACCTGGTCGCTGCGTAAGCGGGGTTAAAGGCCAGTCATCCTTGTTGAACGCGCAGTCGATAGGACGACGCTAAGAACATCCCGTACCACACCAATGAGAGAGAAGATTCGAGTTTCCAACCTATCTCAATGATCAAAAATCGAATGTGCCAATTTGTCGAAGATAACGTGGGACGGACATGTAATGCGTCTGAATGATAACCAATGGACAAGATTCGATAGCAACTGGATTGCTTGGGATGCCAAACGCACAGCAGAAAGGCCACTAGTCCGATGGTCAGAATTGTTCATGAAACCCTAGAAGAGGGAAATGATGTTCAGCGAGTTCCTGAAACGGGCAGAACCCGTTGGGCCACTCTTCCACACGTGAAGGTTTATTGATGCTCGCCCAAGTCACTTGACGATTAACGAGTTAACGATCATAAGGTAATCACTCCTATGTGGCTACAACTGTGTCATTGTGTCAAACGTGAAAACTCTTGCCACTGAAGACCCTGCAGCTTTAGGTTATGCACTCACCCTTCTTTTTTTAATTATTTAGTCTCTAAGAGTAATAACGGTTTCACATGAAAGCATATTCGCCATAAGCGTATTTCAGATGGGCCGAAGCCTTACGCAAAGCTGCTATCTCGCAAGTGGTGCCCGACGTCGTCACTGCTCTTTCACTGAGGATTTAAACTACTAAGAGCCATACCTCTTGTCGCTTCAGTGTAGTTGTCATTACTTAGCGCTCACATTTGTTCTTTTTTTGACCGTATTTGACTGCCAAGAACTTGAATCCTCTACGAAATTCGTACTTACACTCCGTCATACCGAGTGCTTCTAACGTTCTCCATGAGATCCTCAGGGTATTTGAGCCGCATTACGAGGAATATGAATGAATTTGTGCATAACTTTCCTTGTCCTTACTTCAAATTTTTATTATAATCAGAAAAGTACCTCGGTACATACCAAGTTATTAAGTTTCTGAGGCACTACAGTATTTGAGCAGGTAATATTCAGCTATACAAAGAATAAAGCTCTTAAAATGAGCAAGCCACAAAAATAACAAGGAGTGAAATCTCGTATGGCTCGAACAAATAAACACTTCTGATGTCTCTGCCGCGCTTTTGCGCTTGTGTTTTAACAGATCCACGATTATGATGGTTTTTCGACAACAGCCGATAGTTTTGCGTGCCCTGAAACATTTCAGCGGTAAAAAATTTCACAGCCTTATAGAATAGACTACTCTTTATGGCTAATAGATTTCTCTAAACCATTAGTTTAGTTATAAACCTATTTAACGTATAAAGAACGAATAGCGTCTAGCATATCTTTCACATCGGACTATGAGCGATTTTTCTTCGCCTCCCCAAATGGCTGGTATCGTCTGCGATTCAAACGCTCAGTACCGCCGCTACGCCTACTTTCTTTTCAGTAACGTCCAAGTACTTTTCATTAACTAGAAGACTTGGCCGAGTTAGGAACTTAACAGTCCTACTAAATAGAGCTTGCCCTATTGCTTATGTGTGTACATTATGCACTAAGGTTTACTATTGTCAACCATCCAAGCACATTCCTTTCAACGCATGGCATTTTGTTCTGCATGTTCAATTGAATTAATTTTACCATTTCTTTATTGATACGATATTTATATATTTTTGTGCTATTAAGGATCCATCATATCGATTTCAAATGAAAGAACATTCGATTCTTGTTTGAAAATAGAAGTTTGCATAACTGACATAAAGGGACGATGCAGTTCTTACTACCATTTCCAATACTTTTTCGAAGACAAAGAAATTTGAGGAGTTGAGGACTTAACACACCAATAGAAGTTAATAGCATCGTTGCTACATTTACTGTTCATTCTTCTCTTCAAGTTTCTAATCAGTACACGTTTAGTACGAGTTCTAATATCATAATTAGATTTTGTTCAATAGCACATGTTTTAACACTTTCTGCTTTAACCCTTTCATTTACTGCCTTTTTCTTTTTAATGTCAGGGTATGTTGCGAAATATAACTCGTATATAATGACGGGTGATTGCTGATGGCAAAAAGATCAATAGAACTAGCTGAGAAACAGGCAAAACGAAGGACCCGGATGCTGTGGTGGTGAAGTGCGCTACTCCCCGGAAAGGACAATAGCGCGCGTTCGTTCCCCACCGCATACACCTGCGGTCCGGAGTTTTGCAAATATCTCAGCATTATATACTTTCCGCTTTCTTAATTTCTAATAAGACATCCGATATCACTTCAAGTGCACCATACCATCACCCTTCAGGGTCAACGGGTAAATGGTCTTCTTACTTGCCTTTTTTCGTTCTAGTTTCACTTAAAGCGATTCGTCGTGATATTTTCAATACACTGCTTTATAGTGCCAAGAGTCCATAAAGCGCTGACATCGCAACCAATGAGCAGTGCTCTTGTACAGTAAACAAACCTAGTCCCACAATACAGACAGGTGAAAAAGTCAAGTGCATTGGTAAAGCTTAACCTTAAAGTTTATTTTCCTATTTGTATTACACAGAATTGCATATGGTGGTTATTTCGCAAATTTAAACTAAGCTAATCAATTGTCGTTAGTATCTTTGGGAACCCTTTATATGACGTTTATCTTATCAATGAAAATGACTCCGTCTAATTCGACTATGAGAACTGTACTTTGATGATGATAATCCGTTGCTCCTGAGGTCGCCGTCCATCACTATGATTTGGTCAACGACTGAATTCTAGAGTTGAAGCATGTCCGAGATTGAAGAACTCCACTTAGCTCGTCGACGAACTTTAGCTAAACGGTAATGAAGACGGTCTGTAGAAATCAATGGGGAAAAAGCACTGGTTGAGTGGATGTAAGAAAGTTATATGATAATAATGAATCTACTGATGAACGCAGACGACGATAACAACGATAGTGATAATAATAAGTGACCAGGAATCACGGTATCAACCGAGGACAGGACATTGGATGATGAAAAGAAGGAGTTTGCGAACGACTTCTGTTTGATTTTAGCGGTCAGGTTCATTTGTTTCAACTATTTCTAACGGATATTTGGCAACTAATAGTTCGAGACACTGGGCAGCAGAAAAACAAGGTTTGGGGAGCCAACAATGTTAAAGAGATGAAAAAACCACAGGATTGTATATTCAAACAGATATAGCCAGATTTCTGCAATTAAGGGAGTACTGAAGTTCGATTTATTCCTTCAACATTCCTCTCGAATAAAAAGTAGTGTTAACAGATTGATTTGAAATGACGCTAGTTTATGTGCTTTGTAGACAATTCAAGTCATAATAGAGGAGACAGAATGTACAAAATTAATCTTCTTGTCAACTTTGCCGATAGGAGCTCCACCGCAATAAAAAAGCCTGGCAAATGTACGTGTATTGAAAATATGGCCTCAAAGCGAATACGCTCACAAGCTGTTGGTGTATGCTGAAAAAGATGCATCAGGAATTCGACGTCTAGCAGATTCGGTAGTCAGGAATTTGATAGAATTTTTGGACGAAGAAAGACACTTATATACAAATAACTCGTGTAAAGGTACTTCCTTCAACCAAGTAACAACTCATATTGGCAAATGTAGAAGAAATAGGACAACACTTCCTACGGAGTCGATACTCCACAACCGAGAAGAAGAGGATGCGTCGTACAGCAGAAGAGAAGTGGTATAATGGTGCTGAAGTATAAGAATAGGATGGATATTGTCATGAAATCTACAGTTCACGACGCTAGGCCGGTTAATTCGCCAAAACACGAAATCATCAGTTGGTACAACCGAAGAAAGCTATAAGTAGACACCTCAACCAGATGGTTTCTAACTGCTCATATGCTAGGAGTGCTAGGAGTAGAAGGAAATGGTGCGAACATTTTGCTTTTTCATATTTAATAGGTATTTTCTTTATCCAATACTACTTCTTACTATTTTATCCGATCCTTTGATCTCTTTCTCGCTGTTTATAACCACTTCCGCTTAAACAATCGGAATTTGTAAAATTGAGACTCACCGTCGACCAGCAAACCTTGGAGGGAAGTTATGAAGAACATGAAGATGCGGAGAAAAATGTGGAGTCTTACTGTCAAGAGAAATAGTAAGCAGCGCTCACATGTTTGCTTCCTCATATTTCATAAAAATCTTCTTCATGGTTTAGGTAAATGACCCTTCTTCCACGTGGTCACTTACTGCTTTCTAAAGGCATGAGAGATGTGCTGCGCCTAATTGCACGTAATCTCGGTCGACGACCCCAAAGCACAACTATTATGGGACCTGTTTTTTTTTTTGTTGATTGTTGATTGACCATTGTTGGTCACATGTACGAAACGCTAAGCAATTCAGCATGCACTTTCTCTCTTCGTGGATATTCCAGGAGGGTTTTTTCGGGGAATGATCTCTCTTCGAAGAAGGGAATTGTCACATATCGTTAGTGTGTCCCATCAATATTGTTTCACCAAGAGCACATTTCTCGATATGTCCCTAGTAAGTACACAATTTTGACGCCTTGACCCTATGTTCACATCTTTTATGTGGTATGCGTTCCCGAAATGCAACTCTATGTCTAAACGGTTCCCCTATAAAAGCAGACAGTCTGCGATGCTTGTCTCCTGTGATAGCAAAGGGACATCATTCATAGAGTCGATAAAGGCATGCCATTTATAGAATCGATCAGAATTCAAATACGGATTTCTGTGCGTAGTGTTTAATTCGTTTCGTTAGCCTAGCCAAGCCACCGAACTTTTAACAAACTTGGGACACGTGGCGTTTAGCGGCCGTGCACGCGGACGATGCCTAACTTCCAGCTTTTAAGGACTTGCTGCGCACTAATCAGTAATTTTTCGATTACTAGAAGGCTTGAGTGGTTTAGAACATGAAAATATTTTATAGGAGACTCGTTCTCTAGACATGAATGCTATGCATGTTATCATTTATATTACGTGTTACTATGGTCCATCACTCAAACACATAGCTTTTAACATGTGAAAGGACTTGGCAGCCTATGTTAAACTTATTTCGGTATTTTTTATACCCATATATTCTATACGATAACCATGAACTATCATGGTGATTAAAATGAAGTAGTAGCTAACGGTTAGCCAAATTACTGGTATATTTCTTGTAAGTCTAGGGAACTAATTCTTATCATGGGAGCTCTCCTACGTTGATCTGCGATTACCTATTGAATGGATTATACAATGCGACGAAAAAGCTCCGTAACCAAGATGCTGTGAAAGTGTTAAAAAAGAGTTTAGGTGAATTTTAAAATCTAAAGCTTATGCTTTTAGCACCACTTTTAAAACATCAGCGAAAGAGTATACGAGTAGGAATTGAGGACTGCCTTAAACCATGCAATGCGAAACATCGACGAAATCGCAGTTACGATCTTCTTACACACAATCTGCAATTCCGCTGACGTCAGTTATATATGCACAATTGAATAACATGTATTAAAGTCTTCTCGATGGTTTCTTATGTTGTATCCAGTCGATATGTCTAAGTTCCGTACTTAAGGATGTATCCTCAAGAAATGAACTTGTCCAAAAACTTTTTTTTATAAATTATTAAATGTAGAGGACGACTTAAACAGCTTCCGACTAGCCATCGAATGAGTATATAACACGTGGAAAAAAAGTTCTGTAACCCAAGGAAATGAAAGTGCACACTACATATACGCATCGCCCACGCGTGGCGCCAGAATATGTGTTGAAATCCAAAACTTCAGGAAATTTAGAAAAAATGGGAAACACAAGTTTTCTAGGTTTCATAAAACAGGAATTCCGTGTTGGTACGAGAATAAGGCACTTATGAGCTGAGACATGCTTCCTTAAATTTGGAAAGGCACACTAGTGCCGGTCATGTTCAGTCATTTGACGAACATAATCGCGAATATGTCAAGTTTGGGTTATTCCAAACATAATTTCGAAAATATGGAACAAAAATATAAGTTACTACTATGGTGAGTGGACCTGTTACTGCTTCGGTATTGTTGAAATCCGTGTAGTCCTCTCATATACCTCCCTATCAGTAGGCTTTACGATACCAAACTTCTCGGCTGCTACAAGACCTCTTTTTGCCTAAATTACGAAGGTACAACAAGAATTTGTCCCCTAGATCTCAACACACTCTTTATTTTTACATATCGCATAATTATCTAATTGAAGTATGCACCAACTTGATCAACGGCTCCTTTCCTTCCTTCAGTCATCGCTTCCATCTTCGCTATCGCAATAAGCACTCGGAACAACTCGGTCTATAAATATATAGCTATTTCATTAGTTTCTTTATAAGGCAAAAAAATCTCAAATGCTTACTGAAATGATTTCAGAGCAAAGTTTTTCATCACTCTCCATGATGTTAGCAATTGCCATAAGTCCTCTTTCTTGAGCCTAAACAAAAGCACTGTAGAAAACAAACTGTACAATTTCTAAGCAAGAATTCGTGACTAAATATTAACTGAATCAAGCAATGAACAAATAAACCTAAAAAGGAAGGTTCCTTCCAAGTAAATCGGATAAAACATGTTTTCGTTGCTGCAGATTCTTAAACGGCATTTCAATGCTTAGGGTTCAACATTATGGCTATAAAAAAGAGTTCCCTTAAAGTATAGCCGCAGATGACCAATACGAATTTACCTCAGCATCTTCATGCATGGAAATTTCTCTCAGAATTTCTGGCCAACTTGTAATTTCCTCGAAAATGCGACGGCACGCATTCACATCCTGTGTAAGAATAGCGAAAGCTGCATTAGCACACCTTGCTAACCGCACATCCTCTTCTGCTGAATATAGGACCCACAACTTCAGTTTGTCCGTCCCTTTCTATAATCGCTTAAATATATCCTATCATTTTAAAATGATCATCCAGTTTGAGAATACAGGAGCTAAATTACCTACACAATGCACACGATACAGATAAATCAGGTTGAGATAGGCACATCAATATAGCATACATTCCTCTTCTGAGGATTCTGTTATAGCAAACAATATTTCATGAGACGATAGACATCATAGCGAAAAGATTTTATTATCCTCTACTTATGAATAGGAACTTGAACGTCGAGTCAACATGAAAACTCGACTGAAGAACTACACATGTAAGAGGGTTGACACTGCATAACGAATAATATACAACCTTGTGAAGAAAATTGAAATTAATAACACAAACCTTAACAGTGTCGTCGAAAAACTCGTCCAGAAACAACAGATTGAGGAGAAGTTCAGCTGCTGCTGCACGTAGATGGGGGTGATCAGTCATGAACCAGAATTCTTCGATGCTTGGCACTGCTCTCTCCTTTATGATACGACGGCGGACAGAGTCGCTCATACTTGCCTTAACAAAAAAAACTTTGTACAATGATAAATCCAAAAAACTTTGTACAATGATGAATCCAATCAAGGTTCAAGTTCAACCACACTATAAAAGAATAATAATAAAAAACCAACTAGATTGGTAAGTGTGACTAACGCATCATAATTCGACCTTCCTTCAATATCGGGGTGCAAGAGCTGACACAGTGGCTTAACAACCTAAAGTCACATTTTCACGTCACCTTTCAAAATTACGGAGAAAAGTAGTCACCAATTTAAGAAAACGAAATGAATAAGTCAATGAGATGTTGATAAACAGTTATACAGTCCGTTGCTTTCCTGATTGCGCTCACTTCATACGCCCGCTGGCCAGGGAAGGCTATTTCTGGATTAGTTTTAGCTCCAAGCTTCGCTAGTGCATGCGCGGCCTTAATTTTTCCTTCGGATGTTGCTTCTTTTGTCAAACGAAGGCAAAGCTTTGTTCCTCCTTCACTAATTATTCGCCCTCGCAAGTCTTCTATTCCCGAGAACGCAAGCATTGCTCTGAAACCGCACCTATTTGGAGAAAAGTCGGTCTATTTTTCAAATCACTAAACTCACCGAGCAATTAGCTCTAGAGCCCTATGTGATTCTGTTTTGCTAATTGCCACGCACGCAGCAACAGCTCCCTCCTCTACTAAACAACGAACACGCTTCTCTACGTAGTCATCAGTGTCCTTCGGGTGAACCTCTGGCACATGATGTTTGGCGAACTGCAAATAAAAACTTCAACACATTGCAACAACAACATCTAACAGCATCGTTTCCCGCTTTTACATAAAACGTGGATGTTAACATACAACACACGATCCCCAATTTAACGTGGAGGCCGAGTGGGACAACGCCTAAATTTGTATCGGTGGCGCGGTTGCTAAGCTCGTCTGCCTGATGGAAACAACTTCAAGCACATCGCTGTAAGCGCATAGTGAATGACGCTGGTTTTATGATAACTATCGAACTTGGAGAGTTAGGAGCTTGAAGTACTCTCAGTACCTATTTCACTACGGTTGCACACGTCCGCTTCCTTGTTGGACATCGGATTTCCTTATTGCGAATTTACATCGTAAGATGATTATCGAAAGTACAACTATACGATAAAAAGTAAATCTTAAAAGTTTTAGGTGCAGGTTATACATATAAACGAGTAAATTAGTAATCTAAAAAAGTTTCCTTACCTCCCAACAGTTTACCGCCTCATCGAGGCTGGGAGGTGTTCTTGAGTGCAGGGCTGCGAGATACAGCAGGGAGATTCATCCCACCGGCAGGGTCTCCCAAGCTGGGAAAAAGTTTGGTGTTTCCATCAGGAAGCCCAACTAAAAGTAAACCAATGCCAGGATCTGTCATCGTCCTGGTACCAAACTATTCGCATGGTGGCAAATCCTTCTCTGATCCACAAGAGCGGCTAATGCCTGCGGTGGCGACGACCTGGCGCGGACTTTAGCCTGGCTAACCTCGGGACTCCAGGGAACCACAATGGCTAAACCAGCAAAACTCCGAAAGTTGGAAATTACGCTGAGACACGCACAACCAGTGAGGACGGGCCATCCATATATCCAAGGAAATAAATAAGCCTCCTTAACGGTTTAACCCACTTTATCCCGAAAGAGTGCTCGTCGCATAACAATGTGTAAGGTAGAGTAGGCATAAAAAAGAAACCCATTCAGAAAGGTTTTCTAAACGATTAAATGGTATAGAACAGCTTTGGTCCGACCCTGGCGCACTACTGATCCATGCTCGACTAGCTATTGAAAGGATACTCCAGGCATGGAAAAAAGCAGTATGTGGCAAAATAAGGCTTTGGAAAAAAAATGCATCAAAGTCACTAAGCTTCGATCAATTCTGTTGCCAAGGTGTGCATTAAAACCAACAAACTTCGCATGTTATGTGCATAATTTGCAAAGAAACACTGTAGAAAATCCACGAGAGTCGCAATGACAACAACAAACTACATAATATTCAAAAAGAAGCACCTGTGCAAGCTTCACCATTTCCTCATTCACCTCCGGTTTCTCGAAAGAATTTGTAAGATTCACATATATACTTGCCAAAGTAAAACTGAAAGCAGGAATTCTATAACGTACGAATGTAAACAGGAAAGATGGCGTGGATGAGAACAAACATACACACAGAGTGCTCCGGCAGACTGCGCGAGACAAAACAAAGCTCGAAGAAGAAGCGAATCCTCTGCGATCCACTCCTTCACATCCGCGTCCAAACACAGGTACGACAGTCCCTCGCAAGCGAATCTTCTCACATCAACACTATACCTGCCGTAATCCAATAGAAACTTTTTACATGTTTGGGCTAGTTTCAAAGCTGCTCCTTCGTTCATTGTAGCACGAGAAGCATCATCACCACCAGCAGCAGCACATTTACATAAACCCTAAACATACCCAGTTCTCAAAGAACAGTAGCTTAAGTGAATATTTTTATGAAACAAATAAGAAACAAAAACTCACTACTAAGGCTCGCACTTTAACGTTTTCGTCACTGGATTTATACAGCTTTCTAAGAACTGGTAAACCAACCTTAACAAGAAAAGTAAGATGTATTCAAAAACAAATCTTGTAAAATCAAGTCCCAAACTAACCTTCAAGATAGAAGTGGCTCTTTCGTGCTTTACTACTGACATCACAATGAGCTCTGCAGCAACACTCTTGAAATAAAAGATAGAAAGGATAAAAGAATAAACACGAGTGGGAAGTCAAAACCTGCATAAGGTTATCCGATGAAGCGGCCATTTCCAACATCACAGCAGTGACTTGATCATTAGTTACGAGATTCACACCGATATCCACGGTACCCTAAAATGCGCTCAGCATCACACAATTATATCAGCTCAAGAGAATCAAAAGAAAAGATACCTGCAGCATAGTGATCAATAATGATGCCAATTTTATCCGAACTCTGCGATCTTCCTTATTGTCGACAGCGCTCGCCATCAGTTTGCTACAAGTTCGATCTAACAGATAAGCAAATTCAAAAAACCAAGTGTTCTACTACTCACTTGAAGAACCAGTCAACCTTCTCTTTGTATTTAATTCTTTTGGAGTCGAAAACCTGGAGCAAGAAGAAACAAGACTCTTCATTACATTATACAGAGTACAGTCCCGAATAAGAGATAATGAAAATGTCGAGTGCAAGAAAGACGGATGTATTACAACCACAATGGCGCTGAGATATTTACAGAACTCCGGACCGCAGGTGTCTGCGGTGGGGAACGAACGCGCTGTTACCCTATCCGAGGGCTCACGCGTTCACCACCACGCTATGCGGGTCCTTTGCTTCGCCTTTCTCTTAGCTATTTTTCTACCTACCAGTGCCATCAGCAATCACCCGTCAACAGGATTGATTTGGAGAGCCAAAATCGGCAACGAACCCAATTACAGACCAATGTATGTTTTGTGAACGCATACCATGTCTTCGTCCAGACGTTGAAGGCAAATCGCTACATGTTGTCGAGTCTCGTGAGAGACCGGATAGTCACACTGCTCTGGAATCTGCGACGCCACATCCAGAAGCGACAGCAGTCCTAGCATACAGCTGATATGCCGCTTCCATGGATATTCCCCATAACATATTTAGAAAGTAAAAACCTTGATCTTCAACAAACTTCCACGACCACCCTCTAGGAATCCCCCCATCCATGTGCATCAGGTTCTTTAGCAAAAGGTCGATAACCATTTCACGAACCTAAAAGTGACCAGTAACTTTCAAAAAAAGTGAACACTGTGTTATGCAGTAGAAACTAAACTATTCTTGGAATCGCTTTGCATAAACCCATAACACGAACGTAAAAAAAACATACAATAGCTGTCACATCTTTGTCAGTTAGCATTTCTTGTAACTCCAATATCACACGAATAATCCACAGCTTGTTGGCTGAAGCACGAGAAAATTAGTTAATTACAAAATATGAAAATCTGGGTTCTTCGAGAAATCCTGGACTTTTACCTTCAGCAACTTCTAAGTCAGGTTTAATTTCCTTTGCTCGATCCATTCCAGCCAATGCATTAAATTCCCTTTGCACTAGTAAACCAGCAGCATCGACATACTCCTTAGAATCTCTGGCACACATAAGACGACAAACTCGTCGTGTAGATAGCAAGCCATCTGGGTCATGCATCGACAAGAACAATAAAGCCTAGAAGAAAACGAACTCCAAACCGTTTAAAAAATATTCAAAAAGGCGAAACTATGTCAAATCATACCCACCCTTCCTTTGTTTTTGATCAGTTCGTCGAGAATTCTCACAGCTGCAATGGAGATTTTCAAAGGCACATTATTATCTTCAGCAGCCACTAACAAAAGTGACACAACATTCTCCTGGAAATATACTATATGGACCATTCATCCAGAGAGTTTAAAGCCAAGAGTGGTAATAGAGCCGTAAAATAGACAAGTTAAGCACACGAAATAACCAACAGCGTTCCAAATCCGGGCTGCTCCGCTTTCAGTCTCCCTGGCGAGAACGAGAAGATTGTTGAAGGCATAAACAAAATATACTAGACTACTAATAACTGCCTAAATTGAAGCAACTGTCGGCATAGTAGTACCTGAAGTTTCTGTTCCACGTCCTTAGCACCACATTCAAATGCCAAGTAGCTCATTTCTTTCACTTTGTTTTCCGTACTGGTAGTTTTCTTCACTTTTTCGTTATTTGCAACAAGCAGACGTTGAAGCAATTCCGAAATCGATCTGCAAGGAGTTAGCGATCAACGACTAACTTGCAATAAAACGATAGAAACCGACTTGTCCTTAGGGCTAAGTCTCAAAGCCTCTTTAGCGTCCTTAAAAGCCGCCCCGACATTATCGAGATGTTCACGAGCAAGAGCACGACGATAAAGTGCCTTCGTATCTGATCCATTGTATTCGAGAGCTGAAATAGATTATAACAAAAACAACAGGCAACACTAGACATTCATAAAACTGGCTTCCGTTTTTAAACGTCCAAATAAAACAATAAGGTAGCGGTTACTTGACAAAGTGGTAGCGAAAGCCAAGCAACAAGAATATCCTCGTTCATTTCCTTTCTTCCCAAGCTTCACACACAAAGAGGGCGATTGTGAGAAACATGTTTCGAACGCCACCTCTGTGTGCACAACCAGGGAACTAAAGGAAAAATCGCGCAACTTTGCTCGGGAAATACCCATCTCCAATGGCTACGAAATAGTAGCTCCACGAGATAAGTTTAGAAGGAGAGTGACGCCCCAAAACGAAGGGTTTGGACGAAACAAAATCCCGTTTATCTTGCCCTTCATTAGCGATGAAATAAGTATAGAGATAAAGCGATGCTTAAGAAGCGCAGATCTAGAGGAATCGGGAGCGATAATTGAAATACCACCGAATACTCTTCCTCGTCAGTTAGTTCGCAACCGCCTGTATGACCGTCTATGTGAAACAACAAATTGCGTCATTTGCCCTAACGGCAGGGACGGTGATTGCATGAGTTCAGGTACGACATACCTGATCTCTTGTAATAATTGCGGACACGAATATATTGGCGAAACGGGCAGACCTTTGTGTACCCATATAAAAGAACACCTAGATGGCAAATGAAAACTAAGACAAAGTACTCCACTAGGCACGCATTGGATGCAAAAGCATAGCGGAGATGATTTTGAAGTAAAAATCAAAATCCTCGCACAGGAGACTGAAACACCAGCGCGAAAACTTCTTGAAGCTTTCTCGATAAATGCAAAAATCCTACAATGAATAGCAGGAAGAAATGCCTACAGGTCACACGCGGCCTGACCCCATATGTTCACATCAATTTCTGATGTGGTATGGTGCAGTCATCAACCATATGCGACTATAACCAGCTGTTCTAAACTTCCTCATTGGAAGTCACGTGAAAAGCGGTGGTTCTTTCGAGAAGCTGTTGAACATGTAATTACCAGAGTTTTTCGTCTTTTTGTAAGTGTTATTGAAGCGTTTGACTTAGTAGATTGCATATCGGAATACCCTTCCAGGCTCTGAGGAAGGCGATACTGCCGAAACGACAGCTACTGTTGTATTATATCGTTTTTCTATGGAAGTAAATGTTTGCTGTTTAACAAACACGCGATTGCTGAACAAGAAAACGACTAAACATTCATATGATATCTCAAGAGATCTGACTGCAAGAGAGATGTTTCCCAACTTATCGAGTCAAGGTGGATCCACTGGAAGCAGGGTAAGGTGGAATTGCAATGTTTCACCACCTAGGGACCAACATAAATTAATGTTCACTAATGCTTGCCGGAAAACAGCTGAGCATGTCAACCTTAAGCAAAGATATGCCAGCCATAGTGAATCTTATTAACTAAGATGAAATCCGTTAAAAAATGACAGAGTCCCCGGTGTTAACCAATCCCTGATGGATGCACCATGCATTGGGCTTCAATAAGAATCGTTTAGAGGAGATTGAATGCACATCTGGCCTTTACGACTCACGGTGGCCTACCGATGCATCGAGCAAGTGCTGTTATATTCCTAGAAAAGTCTGGTACTAATTCCCCGACCAAGAAAGGATGGAAAGCTTGGTCAGCTACGGGCGGCGACCCTATGTGTGTGTTGCAGGGCGCCTTCTACCACTGCGCCACACGAGTCCATAAAATCCTTCGACAATAAGGCGACTTCTTATTTCACGACTATGAAATGCTAACTTTAAAGATTCCAAAAATAGCATTCTAGTCCTTAAAAGAACGCTTTATACGTCGAGCATTGCATCTTCAGTAACCAGGAGACTGGACAAAACCGAAATTTTTTATTGTTCAGCAGGACAAAATGATGTTTCCCTCAAAAGTATCGTTTGTGCTTGTAGCTGCTGTTTTCAACTTTTCTGGAAATGTTAACTGAACACAACCTTGTGAGCAAAATAAAATTATTTAGGAATTCTCTAGACCTATCAAGTTGCCTGCCACTGCGACACATGCGGAAACGATACCCGCGCACATGGCCCACCATGCCTTCCATCCTTCTGGGGTCGGCAAATTGGTACCATACTTGTCTGAGAGGATAGCAGTACTGGCTCGATACATCGGTACACCACCACGAGTCATTGTAAAGGCCAGATATGCATTCAATCACCTTCAACGATAGTTAATGAGGCGGAATGCATGGCGCATCCCTCAAGGATTGATCGACACCGAGAGCTTTACCCTTTTTATCCTTTTATCAAGTTGTCAGTTTTAAAGCACACTAAAGGTCAGAAAACTGACGAAAAAGAAAACAGTTATCAGAGGACTAGTGCTGTATATAAAGTGCTAGATATTTGTGCACTCAGATCGCAGAATATCGCAGTGCCCCGGCCCCAAGGAATCCATGAAAATACCCATCAAATTCAAAACATATTTTGTTGTTTGACCAACGGTGAGCAACATCAGTAGTGATGACCTGTTGCCCAACACAACAAATAAAAAAAATTGCTATCTCCGCCGCACATACATATTCGGACTCTCGAAATCAGGATTTCAAAAACTATCTAAGCTATCTTATTGAAAACATAGGAATCAGGTTTCATGTGGAGTTTCCCTGGCGGTTCTCTTTCTTTCTAAACACGCAGCAAAGGGACAAGATACCTCGAAACGAGGATCCGTTCAAAGGTATGCAAACAACCCAACGCACACCTTTTGTGCAGTCGCTTTCGGCTCCTTCGAAATCGCCTTGTTTCAATCTCGACAGGGATCGATTTCGATAGAGGGTTGCTCTCAGGGTTTTGTCATCATTAGTGGTAAGCTGCAGCGCATCCGTATAACTGAAACGAATTTTCTAGACAAAATAGACAAAAGCTCTAGCGATAGCAAACAGAAAAAAGAACAAAACAACGTAACCCACATAACCATCAAGATCAACAACTACAACAAAAACAACTACACAAATGATGTAACAACGAGTGTAACCAAAGCGAAAATCGGTGTGCCGACTTATCCACAAAAGCATGTACCCTTTACAGTGGCGAACGAAAATGAGAGTAGTGCTTACTAGTCGTTAGCTTCTTTCCACTGTTCACGCTTCATAGCAACATTTCCGGCATCCTTTAGTGACTCAGCAGACGTCAGTTGTACCACCATTGTTGAACTGGAACGAAAAAGATACTCAGAACTGTTGCGAAAGGTAACCTTTGACACAACTGTTCACCCAAAAGCGTAACGAAATGATGAGGAAAGAGACAGACGAGAAGATAATCACGTTGATGCACTCCTCAACTAGCAAACAAAACATTGCTAGATACATGTGGCTAACACCGATCTCTGGAGATGACAGCAGCACACTCCAACGAGTACTGTTGATGGGTCGAATCCACCGTGCAAGACGACTGTTCAGAGCCGGCACGCATTGTAATGCAACAAACACACCCTCGCACATACCTCGTCCTCTCCCCGTTCCTCAAACACTCCTCTGCTAGCGCCGAAGTTCTCGGGACAGGCAAGCACCAATTGGACCGTCCGCACTCTGCCCTATCGCTAGTCCATGTCCACTTATCGGGACGAATGAATAGTCTCAAGACGCTGTTATTACTGTGAATTTTATCTCCATAATTAAACCGTTAAGTGTTTCGTATAGAGAGTGCGGAATTTTTTCGAGTAATCCTTCAAATTTCTTCCAGTTGCGCACTGGATTGGATTCTAATCATGTAACATCCGTGGCTATTCACAGAACATTCTTCTGCTGAACATCAAATTTTCCCATGCTACGGAAAAGTTTGCTATAAACCTGCTTGCGTTATTCGATTGGGTCACAATTTTTGAATAGAGCATGGTTACTGGTTAAGATTAGGGTAAAGCTGTTGAATATAGCATTCTTACCAATTACGACTAGAACAGATCTGTCGATGAAGTCATACTTGTTCGCTGAGGGCAACCCTCTATAGTAAGTTTAGTTTAAAAATAAAGCCCGTTTTCAATCACCTTGATCATTTACCTGAGACTTCCTTAAATACTCGGTCTATTTCAGTTCACTCTATACAATAATGTGGAATTTCGGGAGCGACAATCCTTCTTTTGTAAAAGTTATTGCGATTGTTCGATCAACCAATTAACGATAATGTAGGGATAAACAAAAGAAAAACGTGATTGACCAAACGTTGCCAGCGAAATTCTCCCTGTCATCCACGAGAAAATGATTACACGTACGAAATGACAATCGTACGTAAAAAATGAATTGCTAGGAATTGACTGTTAATAACTCATGTCCGTGGTGTGTCAAGAACAACACATTGCCAGTTTTGTACGACTTGTTGAAGTTGCTTGTTGAATCTAATGGAACACTGTCTCAGCTCAGAGTTTGTCGATGGTAGCGATAAACATTCGTGGAGTAGATGTTGTGTTTCCGTCTTCTCCTTATGACTGTTAATCGGCATACATGAATGAAGTAATTGGATCGATTGATACAGTAAAAAGTAAAGAATAAAACTCTCCGCTGTCTATTTATCTCTGAGGGATGCGCCATTCATTCAACTTCACCAAGCACCCTTGTGGGACATTGAACGCAAATCTGCCTTTACAATGACTCGCGGTGGCTTGCCAGTGTATCGAGCCAGGCTGCTATCCTCCCAGACAAATCTGGTACCAATTTGCCGATCCCGGAGGGATGGAAGGCTTGGTGAGCCAGGGGCGTGGTGAGCGATCCTTTGTGTCTACAGGGCACCCCCAACCACTGCGCTACACGCGCGCGGTTGATATGGTGAACGATGGAGCTTTATTCGATACTTCTACTTTGAAAATTACTGTGCAGTAGCAGTTTTCTTTGATTAATTTAGGAGATTTGATACTGCTTTGAATGTCTAACTAAATCAGATACAATTTCATCATTACATTGTTCTATTTCAGGATGGTTACAAAAGCAAAAGTCGACATGTGTACGCAAGTTGCAAGATGTCACACAGATCGCTGTTGATAATGTGACTATTGGGTCCACAGCGGTGGTTCCTTTTGATGTGTGAATTTTCACAACCTCATCGAACCAAAACGAGAAAAGTTGAACACCATAATTTTCGCGTGACCTCAGCAATAAACCGAGATGTGACTATGGGAAAGATAACGGGTGGACCTCACATAGCAATCCGAAACAGCACTGAAATCTCTCTCTTAGAGAAAAATCTCTTAGATAAAATCTTCGATTGGTGGTGGTGGGTTAATTTCACTGTATATTTAGATTCAAATACTCTATCGCCTAAATGGTCATATTCGGTACAAATTACTCAGCTGTACCTCAGGGATCGATCTCATCACGCCCGACATGTAGCACCCCAAACGCAGCATTTTATGTGAAAACAATCCCAGTTTTAGAATTTAGACTAGTACATCTCAGCTCATATTGAATATCCTCTGTTTGGATTACAATCTTTAGTATCTGATCCCCTTTATGAACGCCGTCGAATGCTGGTCCAGTCGACTTTCCGTGAAATCCTATAGTAGCAGTGCTTGGACGCTCCTAGGTGCTCACCACAGGTAATCAGCATTTTAGATCCGAGGTAATCCTTCACAAACAAGTTTTATAGTAATTTATCTACCTTAGAGTGATAGGAGGCTTGGTTTACCAGGAGCGGGATCGCACTAGCACTGCGGTAGGTATGTTTGCCGATGACGGCCTAGCAGAGCATTTTTCATGGAATTTCTCCAATTCCACCCTAACTTCACTTAGAAGGCGTTAAATTCATCTTTGTTATAGCCAGATGATGATACCTAGATGACGAAAATAATCAAAGCCGATGTCGTTTCATACCATTTTGGAAACTACCTCCTTCTTTCTTCTGGCCTCTTCGCGTTAAGGCACTGTTTACTTTTTAACATGATGGGTTCATCTATGATGAATCTGCAATAGTGTTTCCATAGTTTCCGAGTTACAGCTGCGACAAGAGCTCTTCCAGAATTACGGAAATACAAAAACTCTAGGCGTTGATCAGTCCCTGAGGGATGAGCCATTTTTTTTCACTTTATTAAGCATCGTTGCAGATGATTGAATGCATATCTGGCCTATACGAGGACACGAGGTGGCCTACCAATGTATAGAGCCAGTGCTGCTATCCTCCTAGGGAAGTCTGGTACCAATTTGCCAACCCCGACGGAAAGGAAGGACTAGTGATTGATGGGGCGCGCGATCGATCCCATGTGTACTGCAGGGCGCCTCTAACCACTGCGCTACTCTCCCTTTTAGGGAAACATACGACATGTAAAACATAGAAGGCTTGTACCTAGCATAAACAGCGCTCGTAAATGTTGCGGACCAATGAACTCAACGCTGACGTGGTTACAGGAACTGCTGGGCAGTCAGGAAGCTCAGGATGCACCAGATCTTCATCACCTACTGTTCAACGATGCCTTCTATGGTGGAAGGTCGTTACTTTTTGGCGCTATACAAGATTCATTTACAAGCAAATAGTTCAGCCAAACTTATCTGGTAATCCTGAAAATTTAACATCTTCACTGTTGTTAACAAACGTGCCTGTGCAGAAAGTTACTGTTGATTCCTATGACTTCCACAGAAAAACACAATACAATACAGCGCTAGCTGACGTTTCGGCAGTATCGCCTTCTTCAGAGCCGCTTTTTCGTGACCTCCAATGAGGAAGTTTAGAACAGCTGATTATAGTCACGTGTGGTTGAGTCGACGAAAAAGCGGCTCTGAAGAAGGCGATACTGCCGAAACGTCAGCTAGCGTTGTATTGTATTGTGTTTTTCTATGGAAGTATATGTATGCTGTTTAAAAACCTCGCGATTGCTGAACAAGAAAACGACACATTCATATTCCAATGCCGAGGTTAATAGAAAGTCGATCCTGGGAACAGTGGCGTTCTCAGATATCAGTCGCATACCTACTAACTGCATTATTCGTGTGTTTAAGCACAAGGATCCAAAAGCGTTCTGAATTAGTTTAATGAGATCATGTATATAGCAAAATAGGAAGAACAGCGGTAACAATTAATCAGCTAGATCAAACCCATCAGTGATTCGACGAGTTGAAATTATCAAGGAATCACGCCGTTATTAGTAAGCGGCTTAAACTCTGGAATGTTATTGAAGAAGTCATACATCTCGCATTTCCATTTACCTTCGGGACTCTCAAAACACCATGATTTTAGTTTAACTTACTATTATATATAATATCTTCATGCGATGTCACCACATGGCAACTTACACAATGAAAGGACAACCATGTCAAAAAAGAAGGTAACATCTGGACATCAAACCTTGCAACATGATTATTCATCGACGCATAACGAATCTCAAAGTATCAAATACAATCAAACAACATCACTTTAACCATATCAGATCGTAATCAATAGACAAGAACTGGGAACAATGTAGACAAAGAGGGAGACGGAAAGAAGTGAGAAAATCACGAGTGCTAGAAAATATAAGGACGGTATACAGTTGACGACAATACGTCGAACTACAACAACATCATCACTACGTGAGACTATTATGCAATCCTGAAAGCTAGGGGCATTTAATACACAGAGGTCGCCTGACAGCGACCATCAAGATTACAAATAAAGGATATTTGGCACGCACCTCGATCAAACTTCATCTCCACTTACTTTACCCGGATTTTATTTCCTGATATTGTTTTTATCCTCCTTAACCGTTATACTGCAGTACCAAAGATGAGAATTTTCAGTTCTTCTTATCGGTAAAATATCCGAGATGATCAGAAAAGGCAGCATATAAGGGACAGTAGCTTTGGAATCACATAACAATACTCTCTGGTAAGCTGCGACCGATCTTTGATGTCGGAAAGTTCAATGTACCTAATAAGACGTAAGACGCCTTTTCGTCTAAACTGCTGTGAAGAAGGGGCCACCTAGTTCTTAAAGATACACATATAAAAAAATTACAAGTGAATAACACGTTGACGCAATTACAGACCTCGATTTGATAAATTGGCAGTAAGTCTATTATACCTCATAAGAACATAAAATGCGTTGGCGCACAATATTGGCATGATCTGGTAAGAAGAGAGAGAGAGAAAAAAAAAATGATGAACGGAGATTGTCATAAGTAATGCATTACTTTAAAAAGACCTAGTGATATGAAGAAATGCAGTATCAGGGTAATTTAATCTGGACTATGCGTAGAATTCCTTTGTGGATGCTTTCGTATACGCGTAGCCAGCGTATGGACGTGGTTTCGGTTCTTCCAACGCATACGAACCTTCGTCCTTCTTACGCATTCGATACACGATGAACATCACAAGGAGGATAGCCGTCAGAAGACCGACCACGGTGCCACCGACAACAGCTGGAAAACGATCAATTACGTATTAGATGAACATCTGCTTTTCTCTGAGCAACCATGAACGAGACGAAAGATTGCTCAGCTATCAATATAATACTAATCACTCTTACCGAATAATTCGACTGTTGTTCTGCAACAGCCTCAATTCAATGTATTTAAAATCACATAACACAGATAAACACGTCAAACGTGGGAAGCGGAAATATAGGCAAAAGAAGGAGAATGTCTTCTTTCCAACCTTGAATTACAAACACGCATATCTCGGCTCAAACTAAAGTCGAGGTGCTTTAGAAAGTAGTACCCATTTTGCGATAGACCCGATGAATATGTTGGACGAAGAGGGGTTCCGAATTACAATTGTTTCAACATTACCACGATTAACTAAGCAATGTACGGTCTCCGACTGTTGTAAAAAACTATTAGTCACAATCAACTGAGATATGTGGAACTCACATTTTGCAGTTCTTGGGGAATTTCCATCGATTTTTCAACAATACTTCTCCGTTGGAATGTTTTCTTCTAGACTGAAAAAATTTCGGGGGTCGGCTTTGCAAGCCGACTAGCGGACACCGTAACTTCGCCATGAAAACAACTCTTACTCCCAGAAATGTTTTGGTGCTTTACCTTTGTCCGACCAAAATGCGGATTTCATCTATTGCCACACAAAATCCACTTTTCGAAATATATTAGAGTGCGACCAAAACGCACCCAGTTTTTGTCGCGCAAAAAATTGTCGAGTAAATTTCAGCGGCGAACTCTCGGTTCAATTTGTGCGCTGCATACCTGGTGTTCGCTTTAAGTTTCGAATTCGGGTGGAGATGGATGTCTCAAAAGTGGTGTTCTACCCAGCAACTTTAAATTATAATTTAAATGACGTTTTCTTCGCGATGGTTGCAGGTCATTCCCCAGCCTCCTCATTTTCAAGAAACGTTCCTTCACCATGGAAGTTCCGCAACTATTTGAAACCTACTTTCTATCACATAACCATTGACGGTTCGAAAACCAAATGCAATCACGGATCACTCCCGGGGTTTCACATTTCATTTCGAATTCATTCAAAAAAAATTCTCGAAGTTGCTTTAATCTATTGCTACTGGAATTGGTTAAATTGGAAATAAACTGCTACGAAAACAACATCATCCCCATTAAAAAAGTGTTTAAATATGCGTTTCAAAGCGGTAAACAACATCAAAACAAAGGCCCAAATCCCTTTCAAAAACGAGGCGCTGAAGACTAGAAAGACTTGAGCGATATTAATTTTCGCAGACAACCCATATATTTTCTGGTGAAATACGCAATACCTACTGATAGAGCTTCAAACCAGCTTCTTTTTTTCAACAACCACATGCATTGTCAATTTATGTAAATAAAATTATGAACAAGACCGATATTCTCAAAGAGATGAAAGGTTTGCTTTCCGTATGGATCACGTGACTAATGAGATGTCAGTGACCTCAGAAAATCAACAAATACCGTTTCCCGGGACAGTGCTAAGATAACATGTAGACTACGCCTCATATCAGAACATCGATTTACAATATTTACAATGTACAGATTTCAGTATTGGTAACTACAATTTTTGGTTTTAACCCTTGTGGAAAAAATGACAAACAATGACCTTCACAACAAAAGGTCCTGCTAAGACCGTGAGCAACCATCTGCCCTGCTCAGGCGACCGGCATATAAATCTCTCGCTGAGTATGCAAATATCACCGCACCACAAGGCCACTCATCTAACGAGCCGTTGAAGGCGCCGCAAACCGAAAATCGCGCTACGACCAAAACTATTCAAGCAAACTGAAAACAAAACTCGTTGACAAGGAGGAACTTCGTGGGCAACTATTCATATTCACTTCCATGCAGTTTTTGTTCTAGTTTTAGTTCCCAGCGATGTTAATGGATCTACTGAGGAAACTCCCAAGTATCAAATGACATCTGAAGTACTCAAACGCATGGAGATGACCAGGCTAAATAGTGTCCTCCAACTGGTATAGAATACACGTGCATCACAAGATCAGATAGAAATTGCACCAAATACTAAGTAATCAGGAGTCATCTCACCACATGTGTATAATGTACGATTAGCGTGTTCTATAATTAATGACCATCTAAACAATTTTGTAGTATTAGCCCGAGCAAATTTAATTGGGTTCTGGGTGGCCATTATTGAGGAGCGTCAAACAATACGACTAATTCTGATGAAGAAAGCAACATCATTACGGAACTCGATAAAAATGTATCCATGCGAATAGTGACGGACGTGGAAGACACATCTTCACCGAGGGTCTAGCTGCTTTCCAACATGACGTATCGATTTATCACGTTCTCGCAATGGTCGCACAAGATCGGATTCTCATCGAACACCAAACTACGATATTTCGGGTCTACGGTTTCACTTGATAGTAAGATTCTAAAGTCACTGCTTTAGTTCATTAAAGAAAAAAGAACTGGGGAAATAGTTTGCAAATTGCACAGCAATCAGCGTCTCAGTCGATCGGCGTAAGGAGCCTCGCCTCCTCTTGTTTTTGTTTTTCGCGCGAGCGCAATCTTTAATGGAACAAAGGATAGCGATTTGTCCAGTAAAAATCGCGCTCGAGAGAAAGAATTTCAGCGTCTACTGAACACTAACCAGTATACTGAATGAATAGAATTGGAGGCCAAGCATCGAGAATAAACGATAACACAGAAAATTTAATCACAGACAAACAGGCGAAGATCGGTAACTGCGCGAAATATGTGGACAATGGACTATAGAAAATGTTTGATTTTTACCTGCAAAGATTCCAGGTTTGAGCACTGGATGGAATGGCGATTGAGTAGCGGTGGGATCCGATGTTGTTGCCGGTATGATAAGAACACGTCGTGTCGACGTTGTTACTGATGGCGTTGTCATGATCGTGCTGGTATTCTGAAGAGATACGGTTTCAGTAGCATGTTTTTCATTTATATTCGTTGACTTGTCGTTATGCTCTCATAATATTGAGGTATCCAGAGCTACTCTGGCAATTGATAAATTGGCACCACGTGATGATGATACCTGTAAGGCATAAAGAACAACTATATTGATTTGAAGAAGCGCAGACATGAGTACTGTTTTCGTTTCAAGATTTATAAAAGACCTTATAGCAACCTTACCGTTAGCTCATTTCGTACGACACTCATAGACTAAAGCACTAAAGGAATGCTTGCAAATATTGCCATTTCAACTTCTGAATATAGCCCACATACAAGGAACATGTGTTGCTTTTGAAAATTCTTATCTGATTACATTTTGGCGAACCGCTTCAGCGCTAGTTGCTACATGTAACCCAAAAAGAGACACTATTTTGCACCATTTAGGAAATGCCCGTTGTACAAGAGAACAAAAAAACGTAGTTCACTTACGCGAGACCGCTCGAACTCAGGGTATGAATGGACAGGAGGTATATGAGTAGTTGTTGTTGTGGTTGTCACTTGAGGACGTAGCTGTACTAGAGATGGACTTCCTGAGGCTTCCACAACGTCAACGACAGAGACTAAAAAGGTGATATAAATTATGTAATTACAAGAATATCTTTGGAAAATGAGGTAAAGTACAGAGTAAAGATTAAATAAACTATACCGAACATGATTTCATTGCTTAGTTCCTAGTCAAGCTACCTAAAAACTTAGATGAAGATTTAAGCAAAATTTAACAAGACAACAACCTCCAGATCCATGGACTGCATCACCATCTTCATCATCAGTACCGTAGCCGGATCCATGGATTTCTACATCTGGTGAAGAAACGGAATGTTTTAATCCAGAATCGTTCCCACTACCTTCTATTATCTAAATAATAGACAAGTTGAGAAGAAAACAACCGTCATAAAAATATTGAAAAAGAAACTTGAAAATGTGGCATAAACACCTGAACTTGTAACAAAACCCATCAAAGCGCATTCTCCACTAATGTATATGTGACGACATCTAATTTTTCGCACAACGCGCCGTAACTCCAACTGGACCGTGCCATAATATTCCCATAACGATGTCCCCACTCTTTCTAAATCCCTTATCGCTACATCTACGGCGCAATTACGGTTTTTCTGTACGTTTTGACAATAACTTCTGTGTTTCTCACATTCTACGCATCTCCTCGTTCTATTAAGTTTTTCCCTCATGTTTTTGGAAAACATCCGATTCTTGCATCTGGTAAAAAAAAAGATCTACTATTAACCGATGACATTATTGCTAGAGTTTGGCAAGGTCTTCTGAATTAAGAAAAGCATATTTTAGCTCTTTCCAATGTTCCTTTTCCAGCCATTCCAAATAATGACCAAGATTGATCGTAATAGTTAAAAATGAAGTAACAATCAATTACTTGTCAAAAATTGCTGCTTACATGCTTCACACAATGGGAGATGCCAGTGTTTCAATAACAACCGACAATTTTTATTTGACCGTTAGAGTACTCGACGAGTTGGGAACTTAGCAAACGCATATTAGGGACTTTGCTCTATCGTTCTGCGGTCGATATATATCTGCTTAGCAATCGCAAAAGGTGAGTGATAACAGCTCCGAAAGAACGCGAAGCTTCCTACAGGTTTCAATAAAGGGAATAAAGAGATTACTGCCGTTTTTTCCACTTCCCTTTGTGATACTCAGCTTATTTCCCTTCCCTCTGCCTTACACATCCTTCTCTTAATGTGACTTGCGTTCCACGTTATTTTACCCGCTATCCAATATTTGGTCCCGTTTATGCTTTAATGTAACTTATTGTTTGTCATTTCTACTCCACTCGATGAATTTTGTTAAAGACAGAGTGAGTTCTTATACTCTCCAATCATGTCGACCGACGACGAGTTGTACTTTGTTTTAATGGAGTATCTCTCGAAGGACGACATCTGTGTTCAATAGACTATTGATTCACCACAAGAAGCGGTAGAACAGACTGGAAAAGAACTCTGTCTACCGACATAAACAAGCGGGAAAGGAAGGGACTCATATAGAGACGGACACACCCTTTAGAATGTCCTCAACGTCCCTCATGAGATCATGTTATCACGTATGTGCTATGGATAGCCAGATAAATTCAGAGATGTTGGATATCTCCATTATTAGTTCCAAACAGTCCCTTTAATTCCTTCAAACATCAGTTGGTCATAAGAAATTTTATACTGTTTTTAGACAAACACTGTTTTTATAAAACTTTGCGTCTATCACATTTCTGCTATTTTGGCATATTTTGCTCGTTTTTTTCACTTTCCAGAATCTCTCATTTTTTAGCACAATTTCCAATCGCAGATTTCGCTCTACATCTTTAATCTAATCGTAACGCTATTGTATTACGTTGTACTCCGTCCAGTCTAGCAAAGTGAGAGAACGAGGAAATTTCAACAACTTTTTGCACGAATTAAACCACAGCTGTAAAACCGTGACAACGATGCACTAGGATGACGTGTCGTAAATCTGTGCTGTACAACGTTGATTTCAGCTCTTTCTTCCCGATAATGAGATCTTTGTAGATGAGTGAGCGTAAATGGTCCTACGTAGATAACACAATAGTTCCGCAATGCATTAGTGCGACTAAAATAGAATGCCGTTATAAATTTCCTAACGGCTTCTTCTGCGCAAAAAAACCTGCATGTTCCCTAACAGCATTTTGATTATTCCGCTAGAAAAGTGGCTTTTTCACAATAAAAAACTTTCACCAGTTGGTCAAAAAAGAACTACCGAAGCACTTCTCCACAACAATGTTGGCTTTATATGATGATGATGATGATGATTGTGATCGTTCGCCGGTCAGTAGACAAGCGAAACGTCGAATACAGCCTTGACTCCCAGTGAAACCCTTGCAGCAGAAAATAATCCCAAAAAGCTGACAACATGTACCATGAACCTATATTCATTAACTGAAAGGGGCAACTCTCTTCGATGACAACGTCTGACCATATGCTGCACGGCCAATTGCGAAAATTGAAAAAGTAGTGGTATGAAACTCTGCTTCATTCCGCGTATTCACATCAGTTCCTTAGCTAGTCGACTACTTTTCAAACACATCGATGACTAAGTACTAGTAAAACTGTCAATAACCAATCGAAAACTGAAAATGTTTTTAGAGTATTCGCCGCCTTATGAGGCTCGAAACATCACAATAACGGAATGGATAGATTTGTACCTGTGTAGTTTTTATTTCACCTTAACAGATTTCACTACAAGCGCAAAAATGTGCCTTAAGTTGGACGATAAAAGCCGCCACATAGCAAAACAGAATTCGGCAAAAACGCCGGTGTCGGTGCCATGGAAAGGAGTACTGAGAGGATTTCGTTATACAATCCAAGCTGTCATGGCGACAAACGTCGCTGATTTGCGGATAATGTCTGACTAACAGGTGCACCTCACACTTACCGCGCGCACACAACCCGAAAAATCGATAACTATGTGACCCACATTTGTGGCGGCAACAGAGCCGAGTAGCAGAATAAGGAGAAGATGCATTGTTCGCTCAACCCGGTGGTACCATTTTCGAGGGGAAAAACTGAAAATGCACACGAAGACTATAAACAACTGCACACTACGCGGAAAACTATAATCACCTCTACAATGACAAGGAAAGAATTTCCGAAATGATAGCCATTCGAGGTGAAGAGACTCAAGCGATTAAAATTTAAGCAAACTAAACAGTTGCAAATCAACTACACGCTAAGCAGATATTATCGTAAGACGTATTCAATCATTAAAGTGAACCGTATTGTAGTCATGGACTGTACGACCAATAAATGCGATAACTAAACTACTCGAGAATTAAAGAGGTTAAATTTCCAGACAACACCAGAAGGCAATTAATTGGAAGGGATAGGAAAGCTAGACAAAAAATTCCTGGAGACTAAGCAACGTTGACGTTAGTGAAAAGATCACGCGCAAATGGATCACGTAAAGTTCCGCTTCAATAAGTATCACTTCCGAAAAAAAAAGAAAAAATAAAGCAAATAAGCAGATAAACAAATAAGAAACAGGAACGACGACAAAAAATATATATTGGAGATAAGTAGGAGCAGCAACACTCGAGAGATCACGAGGGAAAGAACTCCAATACGGGCCCGTGTCGACTAATAAAATGAAATGAAACGGCTTGCAACTTAATAACCCAGACTAGGACACATATTTATGTATATGTATTGAAGCTAAGTAAGAAATGCGAAGCACTGACGTTATTACGACGGCAATGAAAGGAAGACGAACGGAACGTGAGGTCAGTCGTTCATCATGTCTTATCTGGACTGTAGACAAGAGCTCCCGACATGAAGAATTGGAATAGCGATAGGCGGAAACCCTCATGGATACCACGTATTCCAAATAGTGAGCAGACGACTTCCTTCTCTCCTATTAAAATTGCTCTAAAATCGGCGAACAAATTCTTTCGTGCTATTTAAATGGTTGTCATACCTTGTATTATTTAATAAATAGTTGAATAGAAACATGAAAAAGATATGAGCACATAATAGGTGTGGGTCGGGGGAAATACAAAACCATCGCTGAAGGAGATCTATTCAAACAGTGGAAACAAAACAGTGCTGGAAGAAATAATGATAAAAAGAAACGCACGCATTCGTGTTTTAGTCGTTCTTTCCAAAGGAAAAAAACGAAAGACGAAAAACAAAACAAAACAAAACCAGGAACAAGTTAAGACGAAAAACATGTGCTTCTATGGTGAAGACATATTTTCGCATTGTTACAAACGACCAGCAGTGAATTGAGTTCCAGAGACTGTAATTTTATCAATTACTGATAAGATCGCATTCTTCTTCCCTAAAGAAACTATTAAAGGCTAAACCGTTTTCCGCTACAGTTGGGATTTCGACGGACAAAGCAGTGATCTAAGATTTAGAAAAATGCGTAAATAGGATATATTCACTAAAAAATATATGCCGGAACGATCAATAGAGATGAATAGAACATGGTCGTCAACGTAAGAGAACGACATATGGATTAATGGGAGAAGAAAAGTGAGCAGATGTGGACAGAACGCGAATCGTGCCAGAGCGAATCTCATTAGGATCTGAGCGGAACATTAAGCAGAAGCATTCGAAGCGTTCCATTTCAATACCGTCAACAACACAAAAACTGGCAACTAACTGAGATGATATAATAGTAGAAGAAGTATATAGTTAAATAATTGGAGAATTTCGGTGAATAGTAATTGAATAGTGAGGTAGGTTTGTAAAAATTTGCAATGTATTTCAGTAATTAGGCGTCAGGGTGGAGTCTTGCAGCAGTGGGTGGTTGAAGGGTAAAACACGGGGTGGCCATCAGAGAGGAGCGGTCGACTGGCGACGAGCGAACGTAATAGACGGAGGGCGAAACGCCGACCGAATCGATCGGAACAGAGTGACCGCAGCAGGATGGGCACAGCGATGGCTCGTGGATTCACGGATGACACGCTGGTCGACGCTGACCAAGAATCCAGAGCAAAATCCTCGATCATCAGACCGGAGTGCGAAACGCCGACGGAATCGATCGGAACAGAGTGACCGTAGTACGATGGGTAGAGCGAGGGCTCCTGGATTCACAGACGACGCGTTGGTCTTCGCTGCCCGAAAATCTAGAACGGTCCTCGATCACTAGACCTCAGTCCTTGAGTGCAGTGCTCGTTCGTTCATAACGACAGATATCCTGAGAGCCGTTGTCAGTTGATGGTTCACCTCATAGCGTTTTGCTATTACCCCCTGAGTGTTTAAAGGCTCGAATGAATTAAAACCTTCTGTTAATAAAATTATGAGAAATGTAATTTCCCAGCTAGCTGTAAACGTAAGGTCTCCTAAGATTTTGAATTTAGAAATAGCTTAAATTACTAGACACTATAACTCATTATGTTTGCGTAACCAATGTCGCTGTTGTCCCAAAATCCTACACAGGATCAGGCCACCGCCTCCTTCGTGCAAGATTCTATTTCTCGCGGAAAAGAGAAAAAGTCGCTAAATTGAAAAAAACGAAGTTCCAAAACCACTATAAACTGGGACTTATTCAACTCATTAGTCGGCTGTTAGGAAGACACCGCTGTCAATAACAACGACGAGGAATACGATCGGCTCATTCGACATCATTACGTTAGAGCTATGAAAGCTGACAATTCGAAACTCACCAAAAGACGCTTGTCTGAAGAAACACTCTAGCTGATACGTCAGCGTGGAATAGCACGAGCTGCACGCAACCGCTAACTAACGTCCGAACTTGCAAAATTATGCAGACAGGAGCTAAAAGAAGACCTTAAGGAGAGAAGATCAGAAGTAATGCTCGAAGCTGTAGAAGCTGGGAAAAGCATTCGCAAAGCCCACCGAACCGTCGCCAATTACAAGACCAAGATGACACGGTAACACGGCTCATTGAAGTATCGCGAGAGTACAAAAGACCGCTCTGTCTCACTTTCATCGAATTACAGAAGGTCTTTGATTCAGTTGAGATACAAGCAGTCTTGGAAGCCCTTGATAGTCAAAGAGTCCCTACTCAGTGCTTAAAGATTCTTCGTGAGATGTACAAAAATTTCACACCCAAGGTATCACCATTCTACAACGATATTAACATTGACGTCAAAACAGGAGTTAGGCAAGGCGATATCGTCTCGCCAAAATTATTTACCGCCACTTTCCAGAACGCCATGCGAACAT